TCTCCCCACTACCACTTTAATGTTAGCTCTATTAGTAAAATGGAAATTGGGGTCAAAGTTGATGGCTAACTGGTAGATAATTGAAAAAGAACTGGCCCATTTAATGATTTTTTTAAGTTCAATTTCCCTGACATCAAAAATCTATTGAAGTGATGCTTTTAATGATTTCCACAGATTTTTCGTTATTTTAACGTAAATCTTTCTCTTTTGTACTACCAAAGTCAAAATTTTCGATTTTTGGCATCGATTTGGTTTATTTGATTATTGAAACTACCGTAAATACTGTAATAGTACCCCAGCCCCCTCGTACAGTCGCGTAGTCGCAAAAGTTTTTTAGTATTTAATTTTTTTCAAAGCGCCCGTACTTTCAAAAAATGCGTCTTTGGTATCAAAAAATAGCTGAAATTCAGGGCTTTCGGGATTTTTGCGTAGTCTAACTTTAAACATCCCGTTCTCCGCGCTGCTTTATGCTACAATGTGCACTTTGGTATCAAAAAATAGCCCTGAATTTCAGCTATTTTTTGATACCTAAACGAGCATTGTAGCATAAACCAGTGTCGAGAAAAACTCTTTCAAAGCTAGACTACGCGATGCCCCGAACCGTCATTATGGGGATCGGGTAGTATTACAGTATTTACGGTATTTGATTATTGATTTATTTGACTATTAAAACTATAACGGAATAGTAGTTCAACTAAATGCTTAAAAAACTCTAAACTTTATAAAAACCGTGGCACTTGGCAAAATTTGTGATACAAACCATTTTTTTTTTTTTGACCTGAAAACGGTTAAGCGAAAAAATAAGGAGATTTTTGGGTCCAGAATTCTTATTTTTGTTTCCTTTCTCAAAAGCTATCAGCTTTTTGTTCTCTTTTGTCATTTTTCCAAGAAAATTGATGGTTTCTGTCACTGAAAAACCATCGTTTTTGCATTATTTTCCTTTCACATTGGCCAAATCATGTTTTTTTTTGTATCAGGGATAAATGTCGTGGAAATAAAATGGGGAAAACAAAAGAAAAGCGGGATCATTCAGACAAAAAGATCGCTTTCCCCATTTCCTTTTTCTTTTCAATGCTAATGGCATTCTTTCTCGAGCCCATTTTTTTCTTTTACATTTCACGCGACTTTCCGGAAAAGAGAAGATCATTCATATCAATTTTTGAACGTTATTTCTTCCGAATGTACTTTGTGATCGAATTTTTGTAAACCCATTCCTTCTGGCGTACTTAATTTTCATTTTAATGGCGTACTATATTTTTCCTCACGCATACAAATATTCTAAACGAGACAAATGAGGTATTTTAGTGCGCCAGAAAGGATTCGTTTCCAATTTTCATCTCAAGACTACACGAAACGCTGTTCTTTCTCTTTCGGCTTTCGAATTCATTTCAATTCGACTTCATTTCAATTTCACTCAATTCATTTCAATTCTAAGAGTTGAAATATTCATTGAATCTCTTTTCATTCTTTTCCCTTTAATCAAATTCTTCTCCAATTGATAAGATCAAATTTTTCAGAAAAAAAAGGAAAAATCCAAGGAATTAAAAAAAAAGTATGGCTATTAGAGATCCTTTTTAATTTCATTTAAAAGAAGCTGAAAATGAATGAGCTAAAAACTATTTTCAGTGCGCGAAATCGCTTGCGTTTATGTTAAAAAGTTTCATTTTTGAAAAAAAGCCAATTTTTCCCCCGACTCATTCAACTTTTTCTGATAAAAAGATCAAAGAAATCACTCTTTTTTTTCGTCAGATTTCTATTTATTTTGACACTTGGCCCAAATGATTTTTGCGAAAAGAATGGAAAAATCAGTATCTATTTGATTAAAACTTGATTCTTTTCATTACTTGGTTTCAGTTTTTTTAGATCTGCCGATTGCTGACAAATTGCTTTTTGAATGACAATGACTGTTACGAGTTTCAAGTAAGTAAAAAACATTATCAACTCGTTCCCGTAATATCTTGAGCATATTATACCCCCGTGCTTCTAGTTCTTTCCCTAAAGCGTGTCCCCTTTCTCTTTCTATCGTAATCTTGTCTTTATTTTTATTCAATCTATCAACTTTTTGTATCTTTCGATACTATAGAGACAAGATTACGGTAGAAAAAGAAAAGGGACACGATTTAGAGAAACGGATTCGGAGATGAGCATACAGCGTTTAAATTTTAATTGTAAAATGACTCAATTCAGTCCCAGCTCATACGATGATTGTAAACGTTTGGCCGATCACGTCAAAAGTCTTGTCGATTTGCCTGAACAGCCAAAATTCGGTAAGAATGGACTGTTTAAAGAAAAAGTCTTAAAATTTCAATGATCCAGTCAAAATAGCTAAACCTTATGCCAATTTGAGGTATCATTTGCGGTTCGGGATTCGGGCATGTGGCTGAAACTTTAACCGAACGCCAAATCGTTCCCTTCGAGAAAATACCCGGTTTCCCGAAAACATCCGGTAAGTTGTACAATTGTTTTAAAAGTTCATACAATTCCACAATTATTTTTCAGTTGAGGGGCACTCGGGAAATCTCGTCTTCGGCTATTACAAGGGAAAATATATTTGTTGTCAACAGGGAAGAATTCATCCATACGAACATCATATGAATTTGGCTTTGGTGAGTGAAAATGAAAAAGCCAAGATTGGCATGATTACTGTAACTAATTTACATTCTATGTACTGTTGCCCGTTCTTAAATGCACCAGCAAATGCTATTTCCCCAGTTGGTCAATGTATCCTAAAACCTTCAGAAAAACAATACCGTGAGACTGCTTACTCTTCGTCAAAAATGCAGTAGAAGCACGGTAGTTTTCTCCCTTGGCGCCTTTTAGCAAACAGTCCAGGATTGAATAAAAATCAAGACTAAATTAGCCCGTAAAATGTCACTTTCTAGTGTGCCACTCCCGTCCGTATCATGTACTTTTTGGGTGTCCGTACGTTGATCGCCACAAATGCCGTTGGAGCTGTGAATAAATCGTATATCACTGGGGATTTCATGGTTTACAAGGTAGGTGAATTGATAATTCCACCAATTTTCAATTCGAAATTTAAACTCCTGAAACTTTAGCAATAAAACCAGTAGCAAACAATAACAAATTTTCAAATTAAAGTGGTGAAAAGTTAACAAAGTGAAAAGAAAGTTAACAAAGTGAAAATAAAGTATAACAAAGGTGTTTCGAATATTTACAACGGGTCATCGTCGAGACTTTGAATCAGTTCCTAGAAGTAAAATGAAAATTTTTGTATAAATTTCAACCCACTTTGATCATTGTGTCATATTTCCGTAGATGTGGTATGTATTCTTCTGAACACATTTCGAAATCCGTCTTCAGCTTTCTGAAATGGGACTTTTGCTCAAAAATACCCCCAAACCCTTACGTGCATTTATCTCGTTTCTTTTTCAAATCCTCGAAAGTTAGCACATTCATGAGGGCCCTCTCTTTGTCCAAAAGTTTCTAAAGAAAATTTAGCTTCTCCCAAATCAATGAACCTTTCCATTAAAACAGATATTATTGAAAACAGTCCCCTACCTCTTTAAATCCTTCGATTTCACCATGGAGTTCCTTGTGAAGATCCGGAAACAACAAATCGTAGGTATTGATCACGCCAATTGAAACTTCACGAAACTTTTCTGAGATTTGATTAGCCTAAAAAGCAAAATCTTCAATATTCGTTATTCAATCTCTCTTCAATCTATCCATTCAACTCAATTAGTCTATCTGTTACCTCTTCTTGCAAAAGAACCATTGTCTCGTGTTGACGATGTTTCTTATGCGTACATGTACCACAAAGCTAAATTATTGGGGAAATAAGGAACAAAATGATCCCGACCTGCAAAGTGCACTCATTGCAGTGGAACATTTCGCTGATGCTGTCCTGATAGATTTATTAATGTTAGATCTTTTTAATCAAACAAACCACTTTCACGCATTCGTCACAAAAGCGCTGTCCTGCTTCCCCCATATCTTCCAATTGTTGCGTCATTTTTGGCAGCTCTTTCAGAAAATCTTAACAACAATTATACATTAAATGCCACTATTTAAAAATTACCTTGAAGCCGGTCCCTTTTAGAATCGCCGAACGTAGACTCGCGGAACGTCTCATCACACAGCGGGCATTTGATCGTATAACTTTCCTCTTCTTCTTCTTCATCATCTACCCGTGTATTCAGATAGCATTCAGTGCACAGCACGTGATTGCAATTTAAAGCACGGGAGCTTTTTTCACCCTCATATGAGTCTAAAATGACGATCATAAGCCAAATTGTGCCAAGTGCCAAAACTTACACTCATCCTGGCAAATTGTGCATTCAGGAAGTTTGAATGGCTAAGAAAGACAATTTTGTTACTGAGCAAAACATGGGCAAACCTTCACAAGTAGGTATCCACCTAAGATTGGCAAAAGCGCCAAAGCATCCGATGACAGAAGATCTGAACTCCAAATTATAAAAATTTTCTTTTACTCTGGCAACTTACCAATTAGAAAGAAGGCAAAGTTGGGATTGTCAAGGCAGACCTCTGAATCACATTGATGTTTTCTTTCGTCTTTCTCCAAAGGTCCCTCTTTCTCGAAGCATTCGTGGCACATTGCTAACCCACAATTCAAATGCCGTGGAGATCGAGGTTGATTTGCGATCGACACAACTAAAGAACAAGCTGATACAAAAAATCAACTCAAAGCTTGGTCACATTTCCTAAAATTTCAATCCTTACACGGCTGTTCGCAGACGATGCAGTTAAGCGACTCGAATACTTTCATGTCTAAAAAGAAGTATTGTCTTCTGAAGCAAATGTAGATCGATTAAAAGGCAAAATTCATTTTCGGTTCAAAACCACGCAAAATATTTGAACAGGCAACTATTTTGAAAAATTTTATTGAAAAAGAACATTAAAAAAAGTAACAAATTCCCAGCCATATGACAATCAAATTATCAACTACCAATCTTGATTCTTGCCCCTTTCGAGAGTTCGAATCAATCCCTAAATGTGATGCGTTTTCAGCAAAATTCTTAGCCCACCTTAATCTTTGCGTCGTATTTGAGTAACTCTCGCATATATTCTTCTGAGCACGCCTCAAAGTCCGTCTTCAGCTTCCTAAAAAGAGAAATATTTTTCTGTTGTATCAATCAAAAACTCACATGCACTCTTTGTGATCCTTCTGCAATCCTTCGTAAGTAACAACAGTCGTAAGAGTATCGACTTGGTTAATAAATTTCTAAATGTGAAGTTTGCTAATGTAAGCGTTTTACCAATGTAAGCATTTTACCTCCTCAAATAAGTGGATATCATTAATAAGTTCATTGTGAAGAACCGGAAACACCGACTTGTTGATCTCATCAAATGAAACACAACGAAGCTTCTCCGACATTTGATTAACCTAAAAAATTGAGCTTTCTACCAGTTTGGTGTTACCTCATTTTCTAAAAGAGTCATCGTTTCGTGTGATCGATGTCTTCTGTGAGTGCAAGTGCCGCAAAGCTAAGATTTTTTAAAATAATACTCTCAAAAAATACCATTAACCTTCAACACGCATCCGTTGCAGCGAAACATTCTGTCGACAACATCCTATAAATATGCATATATTTTGTGTTAAGAAACAAAAATAAATCACCAATCCCTTGCATTCCTCACAAAAACGATATCCCGTTTTATCCATTTCTTCTAGTTGACGAGTCATTTCAGGCAATTCGTTTAAGAAATCTAAAAATGGTCAAGTTATAAAATACGTTCTTCGTACCTTTTAACCGATTTGCCCAAGCATTAGCACCCGTTGAAAAGGCGAACTTGCCACAAATTGGACAAGTAACTATGTATTTCCAAGTTACTTTCGTCGCAGCATCGTTATTTGCCTGCAGAACACTTAGATGGCATTCATGACAGATGATGTGATTACAAAGGAAAATAAACGATTTCTTGTTATCGACTTTGTCCGAATCTAAAAATATCTTGCCTATTATCTGCAAAGCTTCACTATTGCTCTGAGTTTACTTGTTATACATCTACTTTTCCAATAAACCAAACACATCACCTACATTCATCTTGACAAATTGGACATTCAGGTCGAAATGGCTAAACATTTTTTAAAAAAATAAACGATAGCAGACCAACCTTCTGAAGTAAATATCCACCCAAAATTGGCGACAGCACTAATGAATCTTGTGACATCAAATCTAAACTTAAGATATCATTTCCAGTCTAAAAACGCACCAATTAGATAAAAGGCAAAATTGGTATTGAGGAAGCATTGATCCGCATTATAAACGCATTGATGCTTTCTTTCGTCTTTCCCCAACGATTTCTCTTTCTCAAAGCATTCATGGCACATCGCTAATCCACATAATAGACGTCGTGGAGATCGAGGCTGATTTGCAATCGGTACAACTAAAGGATCACAAATGATAGCAAGTAGAGCGTGTTCTTCGCAAGTAATGCGTTTTCTAAAATGCACCTATTTGAAAAAAAATGTCGTAGTCAAACCGTTAGTTGGCATCTAATCAGTCTGATTTTGGTATCATTCAATGAGCCTTGTGGTTCCTCATCGAAAGATACCAAAATCGGGCCGATCGGACGTAAACTAACGGTTTGACTACGTAGTTTTAGAAGGACGCATTACCAGCGAGAAACACACTCTAATAGCAAGCACCAGCTACTCAACAAACATTATTAATCTCTTACCGTCTTAATGAATTTTCTAAATGCCCCAAGACTTACACGGTTTCTTGCAGAGGATACAGTTTAACGACTCGAATACCCTCATTTCTAAACAAAATGTCGTATACACAAAAAACTTAGTTAATATTATAAAATCAATTTCAAAGGTATCAACGAAACCAGCCACAACTGATGCTAAATCATAAAACAAACAATTATAGCAAATTTATTGATCTTATAACAAATTTGCAAAGTGTAAATATCATATACCAAAATCACAAGCTAACAAAATTAGATCATAATATAAAAAGTAACAAGGTTAGATGCAAAAGGGAATGTAAACAAGATATGGCTTAATTTGGAGCATCATCGAGAGTTTTCATCAATTCCTAAGGCCAGAATAAAATTAGCAAAACAAATTCAACTCACTTTGACTCGCTTGTCGTAATTGAGTACCGTATTCTCTCTCATTGGTATAGTAGTGCGCACGGGGGTGGGACAAATGCGACCTTTTTTTTGCGCACCTGGACATTTGCGCACCTTTTTTTTTGCTGGAAAAGGCCTTAGGCAAGGCCGTAGAGCTTCGAAAATATTTCCATAGAAGGGAATCGTATGCGTAGATTCCGAATTTCGAATTCGAAGAACGCAACTTAACGCTTTTCCGCAGTTTTTGCCTTTTAGCCCAAATTTGATGTGTCAGCGAGGTCTGATTTGTCGAAATTCGGAATCTACGCATACGATTCCCTTTTATGGAAATATTTTCGAAGCTCTACGGCCTTGTCTAAGGCCTTTTCCAGCAAAAAAAAAGGTCGCATTTGTCCCACCCCGTGCGTACTACTATTTTTTCAACCTCCTCTCGGACCGCAATACTATTAGAGAGTGCACTACTATTAGAGAGAATACGGTAAGTGGAGCATGTATTCTTCTAAGGACGTCTCGAAATCCGTCTTTAGTTCTCTGTAGAAAGAAAAATTAAAAAAAGAAAAACTGAAGATTGCTTACGTGCACTTTATCTTTTTCTTTCTTAAATCTTCAAAGGTCGATGGATTGGTGAGATCGCTTGCCTCCTTCAACAACTTCTAATATTTCGAATTTTTTTCGTTTCGCTATCATGGTCAGTTACCAACCGAAACCATTGAAAAATATTTCGAAAATTTTTATTAACAAATGTTTCAAAAGTAATAACAGGTTAACAACGCAAAAGTAAAAAATGTGCATTCAAAAGAACGCGAACAAAATCTTTGAATTGTTTCAAATTGAATCCTTAAATTGTTTTATATGCAAAATTGGGATATCATTCTATTCAATCCCCTTCTATGGTGCCCTTCAATTGCTTCAATTTTCTCAACTGCTTCAATTTTCTATGGTCCCCTTCTACAGAATTGGTATTTACGGTAGATTAGATAAGAAAATAGAGCGAAGATTATGGTAGAAAGAGGAAGGGAACACCGTCTAGGAAACGGATTTGAGGAGAGCACGCTAATCAATACCAATTCGGTTTCAGGATCACATTTTCATGCCTGGGATGGTCGGTCATTCTCCATTGATCGGTTCGTATGATCAAAGATGGGGTGCCCGATTTGTCCCTTCAGCTGGGATTTATGATATTGAATTGAGGTAGGTAAAGGAGGTAAAGAGGTTGATCAAAAATTTCTAAAAATCTAGATCAAAAATGCTCAAGTTGGGTCAAGCGAGTGACTACCGAGTACATGAGGGGATCTATGCAATGCTGGCAGGTGAGACAATTAAATAAGAGCTTTAAAATGATACCGTATCACCTCTAGTTAACCCTAAAAAGCGCTCAGACAAAGCCACCATAATCCCATTGAGTTTTGGTAAGAAGAATCCGATTAAGCTGCTTAAACTCAAATTTACTTTCTGTTTTTAGTTTTACAAAGACTGTCAGCGTACGGTAGCTCTTTTCAAAAGGCATTTTTTTAGGAAACGCTTTAGGAAACATAGAGTATTACGGTAATTTAAATACAAATATTATGTTAGTTGTTGAAATTCGTTGTTGTTGTTGAAATTTTCAATTCCAGGTCCCCAATACGAATCAACTGCTGAGATCGATTATCTGAGATTGATTGGAGCGGATATTGTTGGTGAGGAGAACATTTATAAAGATTAGATCTTGCAAAACTTATATACTAGACAGGGTTGCAAGCTAGTGCCAAGAAAAAAAACTCTACTAGACAATGACAATGTAGACAATGTAGGCTTTGTACTCTCACAAACATATGCTCAAGCTGAGATATCTTATCCTGATGATTCAGGAATGTCCGTTTCCCACGAGACTCTCGTCGCTCACCAAATGGGTATCCGAGTGTTGGCGATGGCGTTGATCACTAATGAGTTTGTTTTTAACTATTTAAAATATGATGTCCTATTAAAAATCAAAGCTTAATTTAAACTTTTCATCAAAATTCCCTTGAAGAGTCCAACTGGTTAAGTCACTTTCTTATGCAGGAATCAAATATTTGCTTTCGAAACCTATTTAAAGGGTACTTGAGGCAGCTTTCAGAACAGAGAACTAAACTGTTTCAGTTGAAAGTCTAGTTTTATAATACTCTCAAAGTGACCCAAGAGTGACTCACAAGTGTCCGAAAAGTATTACCATGGGAGTGTTCTCTCTCTTTTTCCAAAGGTGTACCCTTATTTCCTTTTTCATAAAAATATCAACTTCTTACACATTCATTCGCATTTACTCCTTTTTTTTTGCATAACTTTACTTTACAGTCATGGACAAAAATCTTTTAACGTTGGTTTTCCGAAATTTGTTTTTCGTATCGTTCTTGGTCGTATTCTTATTTCGTTCTTGGTCCAAATTAGACATAATAAGCTCTTTAAATCATCTTTTAACCGTTTGCAAATTGGTCGAATTTGAATCAAGATATACAAAGAACAAACTTCTAAAAACCAACGTTAAAAGACTTTTGTCTATGACTTTATTATTATCAAACTGTAACAAAAAGAAAGTTTGAAACAGTTTGAACAGAACAAAAAAGTTTGAAAAGAAAACGATTACAACAAAAGAAGATAATTTGCAAAACAATTAACCAACAATTTCCTTGTCCTCGTCCGAATCACTATCGCTTTGGTCGAAGAGTAACGGCATTCCAAGTGGGTCATCATGGCCAATGCATTCATTTTAGACATCTCAAAAACTTGGTCGGAAAATTGTTGTAGCGAGGTGGGAAGGATCTAAACAACAAAATTATGCGAAAAATTTCAAAAACAATTTAAAAATATGCAAAAACCAAAATAAGGATGCCCCTATTTTGAAAAAAAGGCAAAAAAACAACTAGAAAGAAAGTTTTTCGGCGCGATTCGTTTGCTCCTAATGCGTCTAGCAATATAAAAACACAAAAGTAAAAGAAATTAACAAAAGACAGTGCGCGCGAAAACAGGCTAAAACAGAAAAAACTTACAAGAGAGTACTACTATTGGGACACTTGTGGGTCACTTTTGGGTCACTTTGAGAGTGCTTAGGGAGAGTACGATAAAACTTGAGTTGAAAGTAATGTCTGGGTTTCAATTTCATTCAAGAAACAACCCATCGCACAGTAGATTAGAAAGCAATCGAGATTTCAGTTTATAGCTTTCACTCAAAAATCTTTCAGTCTTCAAGACGCATCGAAATGTGGTGCAAATCTCAAATCCGAGGATGTTCTCGAAGCAGCCGAAGAAGCCGCGAATAGGGCAAGGACATTGATTTTGGGATTGATTTCACAGGAATAGAGCTAATTTCATTCTATAACTAATATTTTAAAGAGTACTGTAATCCTAGTACTTTATTTCATCACATTATACTAGTGATTACTGTACTTTTAGTGTGTTTTATTTATTTCCGTTCACTTCTGTTTGTTCTTTTGTTCGCCACTGATGAAGATTATCTCCAGATTTTTATTTTGACAATAAAGAAATGAATATCTTTTGACTTTTGCCTCATTAAAAGCTCAAATACATTTACTGAAAGCTTTCGCCAAAGTAAAAGAGTAGTGAAAAGGTTTTTAGGAGATTTTTTGAGAAGGGAAATAACTAAAGATTGTTTCCAAAAAAGGGAACATCTGAAATGAGAAGAATTTTGTTGAAAAGTTGTAAAAGAGGTTAGGCAAGCACCCTAGAAAGTCTCTTAATCGCAAAAGCTGAGAGATTATCTGGACTTTCGGGTTTCGGGGCTCCAAAGTGCGCGCTCATACAGTGTGATTTGAGGGATACACATAGTCAGGAAAGTGGTCAAGAAGTGATCAAGAAATGGTCTCTCAAAACATTTTTTTGAAGCCAAAAACACTTTTTCTGGCATAATTTAACCTACTGATTACGTTTCTGATCAAATTGGAGAAACATAAAAAAAAAACTTTTGAAATTGATCATGTTCGACATGAGTCAAAATCGGTCAAAATCTCAAAAAAAAATTTCGATTTCTTTTGCCTCTACCAGTCAATTCAAGTTAGGAAATGAATATTTAGTGGTTAAAAATGGTTTTGGCTCTAGTTTTGACCTTGAAAAGTTCCCCAATAGTCGATAGCTTGGGCGGATATATACAGTGGCGGAAAATTAAATAGAACCGATGCTCCATTTGCACAAATACCACGAATTTTCTATTATTTGCACATCCACTCAAAAAGACATCAGCAGCTATTTTTTTTTTATGTTATCTTAGCTTTCGATTGGCACCGCTCTTAGCTGAAAGTTCTTTCTCTGTAACTTGATAGTTTAGGTTTTCTTCAGCCTACCCCATTATAGCGACGACAATTAAATAGAACCGATCTTGAAATCTGCTTTTTTTCGAAACTTTCGATTTAATTAGTTTTGTTGCAAGACTCTATTTAAATATGGGACGAGGTATTCATATCACACCATTTCAAAGACAGGAAGTTGTGACACTACGGAAAGAGGGCAAGAGTTTTGCGGAAATTGGTTGCGCACTGAAATCTCGAAAGCTGCTGCCGTGAAACAACAGGATCTATTCAGAATAAGATACGGAAAAGATCTAGAAAAACTACGTCCCGCGAAGAGCGGATCATTCATCGACTTTCTGAGACTAATCGTCACAAAACTGCCGTTGATATTCATTCTGAAACTATCGGATGCCTCGCAAGAAGTGTCACTGTGCGAACTGTTCAAAGAATTCTTAAGTGCTATGGATTGATGGGTCGAGTAGCAAGAAAGAAGCCCTTTATCTCCAAGAAAAACCAAAAGGAACGTCTAAAGTTTGCCCGAGAACATTTGTCGTGGACTCACGATGATTGGAGCAAGGTTTGTCATTTGTATTATGGCAAAAAAGTTTTGTTTTTGAAATCCAGGTACTATGGACGGATGAATCAAAGTTTAATTCGATGGGTTCCGATGGAAAAATGTCTGTTCGACGTCGCGTGGGCGAGGCTTTTAGTCCAAAATGCACCAAGGCCACATTGAAGCATGACCCAACATCAGTCATGATTTGCGGTTGTATGACTGCTGAAGGTACCGGACCTGTATATCGTGTTCATGGAATTATGGATCAATATCAGTACGTGGATGAAATTTTAGACAATGTGGTTGAGCCATATTCAAACACTCGTCCTAAAAACTGGATTTTCCAGGTTGGAATTAAGAACGTCTTTTGCTGGCATCAACAGTCTCGGCATCAATAACGAATTCCAAAATTCGGTAAGAATGGACTGTGTAAAGATAAAGCCTTAAAATTTCAATGATCCAGTCAAAATAGCTAAAACTTGTGCCAATTTGAGGTATCATTCGGCGGTTCGGGATTCGGTCATGTGGCTGAAGCTTTAACCGAACGCCAAATCGTTCCCTTCGAGAAAATTCCCGGTTTCCCGAAAACATCCGGTAAGTTGTACAATTTTTTAAAAGTTCAGACAACTCCACAATTATTTTCCAGTTGAGGGGCACTCGGGAAATCTCGTTTTCGGCTATTACAAGGGAAAATATATTTGTTGTCAACAAGGAAGAATCCATCCATACGAACATCATATGAATTTGGCTTTGGTGAGTGAAAATGAAAAAGCCAAGATTGACATGATTACTGTAACTAATTTACATTCTATGTACTGTTGCCCGTTTTTAAATGCACCAGCAAATGCTATTTCCCCAGTTGGTCAATGTGTCCTAAAAGTTGACCTTCAGAAAAAAATACTGTGAGACTGCTTACTTTTCGTCAAAAATGCAGTAGAAGCACGGTAGTTTTCTCCCTTGGGACCTTCTAGCAAACAGTCCCGGATTAAATACAAATCAAGACTAAATTAGCCCGTAAAATGCCACTCCCGTCCGTATCATGTACTTTTTGGGTCTCCGTACGTTGATCGCCACAAATGCCGTTGGAGCTGTGAATAAATCGTATATCACTGGGGATTTCATGGTCTACAAGGTGGGTGAATTGATAATTCCACCAATTGTCAATTCGAAATTTAAACTCCTGAAACTTTAGCAATAAAACCAGTAGCAAACAATAACAAATTTTCAAATTAAAGTGGTGAAAAGTTAACAAAGTGAAAATAAAGTATAACAAAGGTGTTTCGAATATTTACAACGGGTCATCGTCGAGACTTTGAATCAGTTCCTAGAAGTAAAATGAAAATTTTTGTATAAATTTCAACCCACTTTGATCATTGTGTCATATTTCCGTAGATGTGGTATGTATTCTTCTGAACACATTTCGAAATCCGTCTTCAGCTTTCTGAAATAGGACTTTTGCTCAAAAATATCCCCCAAACCCTTACGTGCATTTATCTCGTTTCTTTTTCAAATCCTCGAAAGTTAGCACATTCATGAGGGCCCTCTCTTTGTCCAAAAGTTTCTAAAGAAAATTTAGCTTCTCCCAAATCAATGAACCTTTCCATTAAATCAGATAGTATTGAAAACAGTCCTCTACCTGTTTAAATCCTTCGATATCACCATGGAGTTCCTTGTGAAGATCCGGGAACAACAAATCGTAGGTATTGATCACGCCAATTGAAACTTCACGAAGCTTGTCTGAGACTTGATTAACCTAAAAAGCAAAATCTTCAATATTAGTCTATCTGTTACCTCTTCTTGCAAAAGAACCATTGTCACGTGTTGACGATGTTTCTTATACGAACACGTCCCACAAAGCTAAATTATTGGGGAAATAAGGAACAAAATGATCCCGACCTTCAAAGTGCACTCATTGCAGTGAAACATTTCGCTGATACTGTCCTGATAGATTTATTAATGTTAGATCTTTTTAATCAAACAAACCACTTTCGCGCATTTATCACAAAAACGTTGTCCCGCTTCCTCCATATCTTCCAGTTGTTGCGTCATTTTTGGCAGCTCTTTCAGAAAATCTTAACAACAATTATACATTAAATACCACTATTTAAAAATTACCCTGAAGCCGGTCCCTTTTAGAATCGCCGAACGCAGACTCGCCGAACGAATCATCACAAAGTGGGCATGTGATCGTATACATTTCCCCTTCTTCTTCTTCATCTTCTACCCGTCTCTTCAGGTAGCATTCAGTGCACAGAACGTGATTGCAATTTAAAGCACGGGAGCTTTTTTCACCCTCATGTGAGTCTAAAATGACGATCATAAGCCAAATTGTGTCAAGTGCCAAAACTTACACTCATCCTGGCAAATTGTGCATTCAGGAAGTTTGAATGGCTAAGAAAGACAATTTTGTTACTCAGCAAAACATGGGCAAACCTTCACAAGTAGATATCCACCTAAGATTGGCGAAAGCATCAAATAATCCGATGACAGAACCTCTGAACTCCAAATTATAAAAATTTTCTTTTACCCTGGCAACGTACCAATTAGAAAGTAGGCAAAATTCGGGTTGTCAAAGCATATTTCTGAATCACATTGATGCTTTCTTTCGTCTTTCTCCAAAGATTCCTCTTTCTCGAAGCATTCATGGCACATCGCTAATCCACAATTCAAATGCCGTGGAGATCGAGGTTGATTTGCGATCGGCACAACTAAAGAAAACCTTAGAAATTTTTATATTCTTGACAAGAACCTAGGTAGCTGTTGCGGTAACAAAAGAACTTGAATTTTTAAAGGAAAAGTTGGCCAGTGGCCGACTGGTTAGGAATCTTCTCTCCTAATCGGAACATCCAGGGTTCGATCCCGCTGGCGAAATCAAGTGTGTGTTCTTTTTCCCCATTAAGTTGGGTTTTTTCTTAACTACATTGTAGGGGTAAAAATTGTGTCCTCCGTTGTGTTGTATCCACTTATTCATGTTGAATAAAGTATCTTTTAAAAGCTGAGACTTACACGGTTTCTTGCAGAGGATACAGTTCAACGACTTGAATACCCTCATTTCTAAACAAACTGTCGTCCATACAAAAGATTTAATTAATATTATAAAATCAATTTCAAAGGTATCAACTAAACCAGCTACAACCGATGCTAAATCGTAAAACAAACAATTATAGCAACTTTATTGACCTTATAACAAATTTGCAAAGTGTAAATATCATATACCAAAATCACAAGCTAACAAAATTAGATAATAACATAAAAAGTAACAAGGTTAGATGCAAAAGGGAATGTAAACAAGATATGGCTTAATTTGGATCATCATCGAGAGTTTTCATCAATCCCTAAGGCCAAAATAAAATTAGCAAAACAAATTCAACTCACTTCGACTCTTTTGTCGTATTTGGGTAAGTAGAACATGTATTCTTCTAAGGACGTCTCGAAATCCGTCTTTAGTCCTTTGTAGATAGAAAAATTTAAAAAAACAAAAAACTGAAAATTGCTTACGGGCACTTTATCTTTTCATCATAAGCTGACTTGTGTGCTTCGGGTCTCCATCTTGCATGAATAACCACCCCTGTCCCATTTTCGCTTGTGCCTGAGGTAGCATATGTGTCTCCAATATGTCCTTGTACTTGTGAACATCCATAATTCCGTCTATCAAGACTAGCGGACCAACGTCGGACGATGACATGCAACCTAAATATAAACAGAATTAGGCACAATCTAAAAAACATTTACTAACCCCAAACCATGATTCCTCCACCATTGAATTTGACTGTAGGACGCATATACTTGAGTTTATAGCGTGTTCCAACAGGCCGACGAATCATTTGACCACCATCCGGATTGAATATATTGATCTTCGTCTCGTCACTCCATAGTACCTTCTTCCAAACGTCGATCGTCCAACGTTTGTACGTCTTTGCGAAGGCCAAACTCAATCGCCGATGTCTCAAAACCATTAGAGGCTTTCGTGCTGGTCGTCGAGCAAACAATCGAACCGATTTGAGCCGGTTTCGAATTGTTTGAGCGGTTACTTCAAGCCCAAAGCAAGATTGAAGCAACTTGGCACCGCACAGCGTCGGTACTCGTCCTGTTTGGATCCTTTAAGAACATCCCGATCAATGAACGGTCCTGTCTGATTGTTGTTTTAGGTGGTCGACCACTTTTTGAATGTCGTTGCACATTTCCCTCTAGTTTTTGTCGTTTACAAAGGCTGGAGACGGTAGAGCGATCAACGATAAAGAGACCACAAATGGCCTTCACTTTCATCCCTCCTTGACGGGCTTTGGCAATGTTTTCCTTAGTCGGAGTGTCCAGATATCGCTCGCAGGGCATCTAAAAAAGCAATTAATGCACAAAAAACAAAGTCAGAAAAAAAAAGAAAAAGTTTACAACAGAATATGGTGCAGATGGTGCAAGACTTTTTTTGCGCTCTAAACCGGGTGTCTCTAATAAAATTTATGTTTTACGTCAAAAGAAATAACTTGCAACAAAAATGAATAATATATTCGGAAACTAGACCACAATGGTAGAATTAGTTGCCAACAAGTTTTCTCTGAAACGCTTATTTTTGCGAAAATTTTTGTTTTAAGCCTTTGGGAGAAAATGGTGCAAGGCTTTTTTTTTTGCTGACTGTATGTGTCGTAGCCGTTTACGAAATTCAGCCGCTAGCGAATGAAATTTTTCGCTAGCCGCTAACGAATCGTTCGTAAACGGCTAGCCTTTAGCGTTAGCGGCTAGCCGATGTTTTGAGTGGTGTCCCGGGTAATTATTGTGATTTTGTTTTGTCGCTATTCAACTGAATAAAGCATATACATAAAGGTTTTGTTCTACAACAAGACTGGGCTCCAGCCCATGGCGCTACTTCCACTCGACAGCTCTATCAGCAGCTCTTTCCTGGATTTTGGGACAAGGATGTGTGACCGGGAAACGCACCAGATTTGAACCCATTGGACTTTTCTGTGTGGTCAATTCTTGAAGAAAGGCTTCGCAAGTATCGATACACGACGGTTGCCGGTTTGAAAACGGCCTTGACTCGCGCTTGGAGCGAAATTACAACGCAAGAATGCGCGACCATCATTCAGGAACTTTCCGAAGCGGCTTAGCAAATGTGTTGAGGCCAAAGGTGGAAATTTTGAACATTTAATGTAGGAATTTTTGATAGAAAAGTTATTGTTGAGCTTGAAGTTGTTAATTCTTGTTAAACTTTCGAGATAAATCTTTTTAAAAAGTGCTGAGGGAAATTTGACGATGCGCAAAAAATTCGCCGTATTTTCTGGTCACCCTGTATATAAATGGGTATCCGAGTGTTGGCGATGGCGTCGATCACTAATGATTTTGTCTATTTTGCCTATTTAAAAACTAATGCCATATCAAAAATCAAAGCTTTACTTAAACTTTAAGACTTTTTCATCAAAATTCCCGTCTCTTTTGCTAAACTGTACTCTTTTTTTCTTGATTTGGAAGTGATTTTTAGCATTTTCTTGGCAATTTTCTTTTGAAAACCCTTTTCTATTGAAATTTCGACCATTAAAAGAAAAAGAAAACGAAAATTTCACAGCCAATTCAAAAGGTTTTCTATGGTAAAAGAGAGAAATTATCATTGCCTTCCAAAATGTTTCCGGTCTTTTTTTTAGGAAATTTTAGAAACTTTAGTCAAACCACAAGTCAATCATAGTAAAAAGTGAAAAAAACTTTCGGCAAAATGGCCCAAAATCGCTCAAAATCTTTTGTTTTCTCGAGAAATTATTTCTTGGTCTTCAGAATTTGAAAAATCTGACTTTTTCATTGCTAAGTTTAAAGGTTTTCAACCAAAAGTTTACTCTAGTTCCCACCGTCTACTAATCCTTGTTCCCCACCGTCTACTCTAGTTCCCACCGTCTACTAATCCTTGTTCCCCACCGTCTACTCTAGTTCCCACCGTCTACTAATCCTTGTTCCCCACCGTCTACTCTAGTTCCCACCGTCTACTAATCCTTGTTCCCCACCGTCTACTAATTCCATCCTCATTGAGTTTCTGCTCAAAATTTGTAAACGCAACTTTTTTGGTGCACTGAATCTCAGTTTTCAGAGCAACTACTCGTTTTCGCGAGAAAATAAGTGATTCACCGCACCAGAAACAATGTTTTTGAACGCCACAAAGTACACCAGTGAAGAATCGATTTGGTTAAGCGATCCGGTTACTTTCAACATAACTTTCTAGAGTCACTTTCTTATGCAGTAGATTTCGATTTGCTTTTGAAATCTATATAAAAGGGCACGATAATTGGGGTAGCTTTTCAGAAGTAACTGTTTCAGTTGAAAGTAATGGCTGTATTTTAATTTCATTCAAGAAACAACCCATCGCACAGTAGATTGGAAAGCAATCGAGATTTCAGTTGGGTCACTTTGAGAGTGCTTAGGGAGAGTACGATAAAGCTTGAGTTGAAAGTAATGGCTGTATTTCAATTTCATTCAAGAAAAAACCCATCGCACAGTAGATTAGAAAGCAATCGAGATTTCAATTTATAGTTTTCACTCACAAAGTCTTTCAGTTTTCAAGACGCATCGAAATGTGGTGCAAATCCGAGAATGATTGATGACATTACATTATACTAGTGATTACTGTACTTTTAGTGTGTTTTATTTATTTCCGTTCACTTCTGTTTGTTCTTTTGTTCGCCACTGATGAAGATTATCTCCAGATTTTTATTTTGACAATAAATAACTGAATATCTTTTGATTTTTGCTTCACGAAAAGCTCAAATATTTACTGAAAGGAAAAAGAAACAAAAAAGTAGGAAAACAGAGAAGCCAATTCATCAAAAAAGAGACCAATTGGTCATTTTTTTACTTTAACTACAAGAAAACTTTAAAGTAATCTATATTCTTTTTTTTCTTTTCATTTTCTTAACATTAACTTGTCTCGATCCAATGCCTCGATCCGATGAGCCGGATGATCGTTTCATTTTCAGAGTTTCAATGAAAAAGTGATTGTCGTGAATGAGATTGAGCTTTAGATTGAGAACGAATCAAAGAAATGGGAATGATCTTTACGGCTTTACACATTCCCCTTCACTTTTGCCTCTTTTCTTCCCTTCTCTTCTTCACTTCTTCCCTTCTCTTCTTCCCATCCCCTCTTCCCATTGGCCTTTGACCCACTCTTTCACTTCACTTGAACCCCATTTGAACAGCACAGAAAGACCCAAATCGCTTTTTCTCCAAAGATCTCACCTCCAATCAATGATCTCATTTCATTCGTTCATTTCATTCGTTCATTTCATTCGTTCAATTTAGAAATTTCTTTTTAAATCTTCAACTAAAATGATTTTAAACTACGCTAAAACTTTAAGTTTTGCTTTTTTTTTGCTTTGCTTTGTTTGTTTTGCTTTTTTGCTTTGCTTTGCTTTGCTTGTTTTACTTTTTTTTTTGCTTTAACCTTTGGAAAAAACTTTCAACAATTCATTTGTAAAAAAGAAATTCGCGAAATTCGATCACTTTTTCAGTTGATTCTCTTTCTTCACTTTTTCTCACTCATCCCACTCTTCGGTAAACAATGTCGATGACCAGTGATCGTAAGTTCGATTTTAAAGAAAAAGGAAACGAGAATCAGGAATTTTCTACAAATACGAATCAAGAATGAATCAAAAATGAATCAAAAATTTCCCCAATCCCCATTTTCAGAAGCGAAATCCGCTCTTGAAGGCCAAGTGCTCGAGTACATCAAAAAGTTGAATAATGGAGAATGGGAGGTTTGTGGGGGATGACTTTCATGGCTCACAACTTTGTTTAGAGATTAAATTTTTGTGAACTTTTGCGCTGGTTGTATAGAGGACATTTCAGGCTTCCTAATGATATCAAATAGTGTTGGATTGGTTTAGCCAAAGCAGAGAAAGTCAAGAGACACGCTGGCCGAGTTTGGTCGACCTTGTTCGTTCAGGGTTGGCTTTGATCTCTGGCTTGGCAAGTCCAATCAAATTCTTTTTGGTATCATTCGAAAGCCTGATGTGTCCTCTATACAACTATGTACATAGTTAACTCTAATATAATTTCTAGACAGAGTTATTGTTCTTTAAAACATGGCTACTCATTCAGAAGCCCGAATTCTGGGCTGTCATCAAAAAGTTTTGTTATTTAAAGCAAAACCAATATAGCAAAACTAATATAGATAAAAGCCTAATATAGTTTTTATTCAATTTTAAAGTTTTCTCAATTTCTCAGGCTCTCGAAGAGTTCTATCATCCAAATGGAGTGATGGTCGAAACGGACAAAAGTTGTCTCTGGGGACAAAAAGGTTTGATAGGCATGGATCTATACAGGGTGCGTCATAATTATTGCAACAAGATACTCAAGGCATTGCACACCAAGAAGTTTCACTGGAAGAAGATTTTTAAACAGAAATAGCTTTATTTAACAGTAAATAATAAGGAAACAAGAGATCATTCGATATGACCGCCTTTTGCCTTGATAACAGCCCTTAATCGGTTCGGATATGCCTCCACTGCGGCCCGAATGTCATCTTGAGGAGTCGCCATCCATCCTTTGGTCAAAGACTTCTTCAAGGTCAAAGACTTCTTCAAGGTCAAAGAGCAGACATTAGCCTCTAAGATTGCCCAAATGGAAAAGTCCATCACATTGAGATCCGGTGAGTTTTGAGGCCATTCATCCTTGGTGATCACTGAGGGAAAGTTGGCCGATTACAGTCCTTGGTGATCACTGAGGGAAAGTTGGCCACACACCAGTCCTGAACCGTCTTCTTCGTGTGAGCGGGAGCTCCATCTTGCATGAAGGTCCAATTTTGATTGTTATTGGCTTTACACGCCTATGACATCACATTCTTCTTTAAAACTTTATTCAAATAATACTTTCCGTTAATTCTCACGCCTTTTTCAACAAAAAAACAAGGCAGTACGCGAATCGGCGGTCACTCCAGCGAAAACCATCACAGATTGTGGATGCGATGATCGAAGCACCGTTCTTCCAATTTTATCAGCATCTTCAGAGCTGTTGGCAAGTACTCGATCATTTTGGGTCCCTTTCGATGAAGATCCAAGATAGCACCACGGCTTGCACTTGGCTTTACCATCTCAATCGTACCTAAAAATTTAAATGTATTTTGAACCAAATTAGGCAAGAATAAAGAAGATAGAACGCAACACAACAAAAAAAACAAAAGGGGGCAAAAAAAATAAGAAAGTTGTTTAGAAAACGGTCTTTGAACTCTTGTTGCAATAATTATGACGCACCCTGTAAAAACCCTTCAAAACTAAGATTTATAGATAAAAACATTAAAAAGCTAACATTCAAAAGCTAAATTATCCAAATTTTTTTTTCAGATATTGGTCGCTCATTGATGCAAATGTCGACTGAGTGCGGGAAAACGACCATGTCGGTAAGGGAAGGGAGAAGTTCGAGGTTTTGAGGGAAATAGCTCTTTTATCTATAATATATTCTTTTTCAATAAAAAATCTTTACCCAGGTCTCAAATTCTCAATACGATGGTGTCCGGGATTACATCATTTTCGAGACCGATTTCTGCTTCCACACCGAGAAAGCCGGTGACCTCAAGGGACACTATGTGCAGGTGAGAAAAGATAATAGATGGATAAAAGTTAGATTAAAAAAAAGTATACCGTATTTTCTGTAATAGTAGTGCAGTCTGTAATAGTAGTGCAGGCAGGAGGGGGGTTGAAAAAATAGTAGTGCGCACTACTATTACAGAAAATACGGTATTAGCTAAAAGCTGTACTTACTCAGAATTTCGATATTTTAGGGTAATACGATAGTTGATTTACAAAATAAGATGTTTCTTTTCAGATTTGGCGTCTCCACAACGGTCGCTTTGTTATCTATCATGATGAGTATGCCCTTATCTAAAGAAAATACAAACAAATTATCAAATATTCAATTCACAAAGCTTTTTTTCGAAAATTTCTCTTTTTAATGCATTTATTTGTAGCTTTTTTTAGTTTTTGAAACAATTTTCTGCTAGAGAAATGACTGTAGCTTTAATAAATCTCCATTTAATTAATCAAAGGTTTCATTTTCTTGGATAAATCGCAGTGAAGAGGATCTTTTGATGAGCGCCCGAGGAATTGAGAACCTGAAAAAAACCGTTCTCTAAAAGACGCCTCACAGAAAAAGCTACTGTAACCCTTCATGTTCAAATCTGTTCCCTAATTCACACGAATAATGGTGGTACAAACAGGTACAAGCACAACCGCTAAGCCCTAAATACAGAGAAGAAAAAACCACATATACATGTCGTAACTGATTTGCTGTTTCAGCCGATTTGCTATAGTCTTGGATTTGAGTGGTCTCAGAATGACGAACTTCGTTTAGAGATCTTGATATACCATAAGAAACTTCTAATCACCATCAGGGAACGGATTTTAGATCGACTTCGCTTGGCCTGGCTTGAGATCGACTTGGCATCACTCGTTCTGCTCCTGTGTGACAATCGGCTTGATGACAACTCCCTTCTTTGGGAGCCCCTTCTTCAACTCGCACTCCGAGCACAGTTTAATAAAGAAAGAAAAAGAAATTTGAAGTAGATCATAAAACTTGAAAAACTCTGAGAAAATCTCACTGATAAATTGGCTAGCCGATCTGCTTCCAAAGCAAATCGGTTAAAATAGCAAACCGGTTACGACATATATATGTTACGTCCGAATCCGATCAGTCCGGATCTGATCCGGACGTCCAAAACCGACCATTGATTATCTTGTGGTCGGTTTCGGACATCCTAATCCGACCACAATCCGATATAGCAAACCGGTTACGACATATATATATGTTACGTCCGGATCCGATCAGTCCGGATCTGATCCGGACGTCCAAAACCGGCCATTGATTATCTTGTGGTCGGTTTCGGAGGTCCTAATCCGACCACAATCCGATAAATGCTATTGATCTCTCTTGATTCGTCGAATTTTTTATAATTTTTCAACTATGATAGTTTCACTCAAGCAAAATTTAAGAGACAAACAAAAATGCTTTTAAAACGTAAATGAAATTCTTCACCTTCTAAAAGATATTGAGCTTTTTCCATAACTTGAGGTCATGCTCTTAAACTTTTGTCCGGCACTGTATATATATGGTGGAAAAGAGACCAATAATCTAGCAGGATCAAACCCTTGACCTCTCAACTAGAAACATGACTCCTAACAAGTCCGTCATGGCGGCAAAGTTTGACTTTAATCAAGATTACGGTAATTTTTCCTGGAAAGCTCGTTTTAGGTTTAGCCGGAGATATCTACTCAGACATTTCTTACAGTAACCCTACCCAATGTCCTTTCGGTATCCATTTCATCATCACATCATTCTCCTCATCCACACAATAGAATGGTTTGATTCCCATCGGATTTTCATAGACTTTTTCACCGATTTTCTCCATCAAAATCGATCTTTAATGGGGAACGGTAGGTATTTTCGATAAACCTTACCGTATTCCTTTTCCCCGATACTCAGGCAGTACATGTAGATGTTGTACCATTCCTCGATGATCCACCATCACCCATCCAATCAAAGAATTATCGGATTTGGATCGAATGCAAATTGATGGAAGATCATGAATACGGTGTCTATTGATGATTTTTTAGTTGATTTCCATTGAAATAAGCGAAACTTTATCCGTTCAGCTTCATCTTTTGCTGAATATCTCCACTTTGAGGCTACAAAATTGGCATCTTTTTCGTTAAGGGAATCGAGAAAAAAACTGAAATATCAATATTGATGTAAAGAGGAAAAAGTGATAAAGGGAACAGGCTTGATTGAAAAAAAAATGACACAAGAAGAGTGAAATTGTCGAGACTGAAGAATTGATTCTATTCAAATATAAATTTAAATTCGGAATTTGTTAATTTGGGAGGTTTGATCCTTCTGGCTAGATTGGTCTCTTTTCCACCATATATATATATTACGTCCGAATCCGATCCGGACCTCAGGATCTGATCTGGACGTCCAAAACCGGCTATTGCTTATTTTGTGGTCGGTTTCAAAAATCCTAATCCGGCCACAATCCGATATAGCAAACCGGTTACGACATATATATGTTACGTCTGAATCCGATCCAGCGGTCAGGATCTGATCCAGCGGTCAGGATCTGATCCAGCGGTCAGGATCTGATCCGGATGACAGGATCTGATCCGGACGTCCAAAACCGGCCTTTGATTATCTTTTGATCTATTTCGGACGTCCTAATCCGGCCACAATCCGATATAGTAAACCGGTTACGACATATATATATATGTTACGTCCGAATCCGATCCAGCGGTCAGGATCTGATCCGGACGTCCAAAACCGGCCATTGATTATCTTGTGATCGATTTCGGACGTCCTAATCCGGCCACAATCCGATAAATGCTAATTGATCTCTCCTTGATTCGTCGAATTTTTGAATTTTTCAACTATGATAGTTTCACCCAAGCAAAATTTAAGCTAAGAAATTTAAGTCATACTGTTTGTGAATTTCCAATAACTTTTTAAAAATTGGCGTCTTTCTCGTTAAGGGAATCGAGAAAAAAACTGAAATATCAATATTGATGTAAAGAGAAAAAAAGTGATAAAGGGAAAACAGGCTTAATTGAAAAAAAAAATGACACAAGAAGAGTAAAATTGTCGAGACTGAAGAATTGATTCTATTCAAATATAAATTTAAATTCGGAATTTGTTAAATGAGTGAATGATAAATCTTCAGATTAAAGCACTATCTTTAAATCATTTTACGTGAATTCTAATTCGGGGCTTTAGCTGAATTTCTTCTTTAAGAAGTCAGTAAGTAAGAAAGTAAGTAAGTAAGTAAGTAAGCAAGCAAGTAAGTAAGTAAGCAAGCAAGCAAGTAAGTAAGTAAGTAAGCAAGTAAGTAAGTAAGTAAGGCAAGTAAGGCAAGTAAGTAAGTAAGTAAGTAAGTAGTCAGATTAAAGCACTATATTTAAATCATTTTACGTGAATTCTAAAGAAATCATAATTTTATACGAAAATAAGGTCAAATAAAATGCTTAGAAATGAATGGAGGTCAAATTAAGCGATTAAATTCAACGTTTTTTTTGCATGATCATGATTGGCTAATAAAATGGGAAATTTGTCGTTTTGTCGAGATGAATCGAACTCACCCGTCTCCCAGCGGTTTTTCCACGAATTTCGCTCCACATGGAATGATATTTAAACAATCAAAGCAATGTGGATCGGATGAAGAAGAGAAGTTGTGCGAATGGAGGAGATGGGGCTTTAGCTGAATTTCTGGGGTAGGCTAATTTCCGAAATTTTTTTTTGCGCAACTGGGTTGTTTGCGCAACTCACCATAACTTTCTTCTGAGTCGGTCAATCTTTATGATGTTGATTTCATTTTGTTGCACTTATTGAGATCTACAAAATGAAACCAACATCATAAAGATTGGCCCACTTAGAAGAAAGCTATGGCGAGTTGCGCAAACGACGCGGTTGCGCAAACGATCCAGTTGCGCAAAAAATTTGGCGCAAAGTAGCCCCTACACCGAATTTCTTCTTTAAGTTAAGTATCTTTTACAGTATGCTGAATAAAGTAGTCAATTGACAAGATGGAATACTTTTATTCCACTTACAGTAACACTTACAACAGTGACTTACAATAAGCTTAAACTAAGTCACTATAGTACTACCCATTTTGATGCAATTTCCAATTCGAGTTACCTTTTCCACCATTTCCGCATCACCCCACAAAATGAGGAGCTCCGAATTTCGCATTTCTTGAAAAAGTTTCGATTTTTCTGCGAAAATCTTCAATGCTTTTTGCAAATCGTTAAAATTTCGCTTTCCATCGAAATTGACAAAGAAATAGGTACTGAAAATTGGATTTTAAACGATATTTCAAACTTTACTTTGTGCTTAATTTCTATTTCTTGCTTAATTTCTGCTTAATTTCTGCTTACTTTCTTAATTACTTAATTTCTTAATTACTTAACTTCTTAATTACTTAATTTCTTAATTACTTAACTTCTTAATTACTTAATTTCTTAATTTCTTAATTTCTCAATTCCTTAATTTCTTAATTCCTTAATTTCTTAACTTCTTAACTTCTTAATTTCTTAATTACTTAATTCCTTAATTCCTTAATTACTTAACTTCTTAATTTCTTAATTACTTAATTCCTTAATTTCTCAATTCCTTAATTTCTATTTACATTTCAAAAAAGTCCAAACGTACCCCAGGAAATCCATTGCGTAAAACCAGAAATTCGTTTTCAAATTCGAAAATTTGTAAACTTCAAATTTCCCCACTGGAATTAGGCGGTTTTTGGCGATCTGTAGCGCGCTTTTGAGTGGGGAAAATGTTTGAGACGATGGCATTTCGTTGTCTATTTCAGAGAAATCTTCAAGAGTTGACCACAATTTTGAGCACATTTCTGGAATTTTGATTTTTTTTGTTTCTTTTTGTAAGTTTTTAGAGAATTTGAATGGATTTCTATGGAAACACAAACCTTCTGAGCCTTGTTTTGTCCTGAGACTTGTTTTGTTCTCAGCGTTGTTTTGTCCTGAGCCTTGTTTTGTTCTCAACCTTGTTTTATTCAGCAAACACTTTGATTTTCAATCTAAAATGAATATTTCAAGATATTTTTCATTGTTTCTCACCTTTTCGAAATTGTGAAAAGGTAATTTTTATCAAAGCTTTTCCGATAACAAAAGACCAAAAGTGTACTTTGTTTTGTCGTGTACATTTTGAGGGAAAACATTTCATTTGAAACTTGAAAGCTAACAATAGCTAACAAAAAAATGATAGAATACATAAAGATTTGTTTATGATAGATAATATTGGTTATCGTCAACTCAAAAACTCCAAAAAAAGGAGCATTGTTTAGCCTTTAAGTTTGTTTGGAATACGGTAGGTTGGAATTCTAAAGAAACTTAAAGGCTAAACAATGTTCCTTTTTGGAGTTTTTGAGATTACGATACCCAATATTGTGATCTCTAAAAGGAAAAAGGAAAATATTGTGATCTCTAAAGGCGTTTCGACTTCAAGCAAATCGATTTTGTACTTCTAAATTTGCTTAAATTTAGAGTTTAAATTTTAAAGCAAATTTTCTAAATTTTAAAGTTCAAATCTGAGTTTCTTTCAAAGATTAGACTCTTTTGTCTTAGAATCTCTGAAATTTCCCCTATTTTTCGATGCCTAAGCATTTTTGTTTTGTTTTTTTCTCACTTTCAATCGAATGTTGACAATTGGAAAGAAAAAGGGAAAGAAAATAAAAGCGAAATCTGCCTTTTTCCCATTCGCAATATTTTAATGCACTTATTTTTTAAATTTACATTTATTCCCCGATAATGCCTTCAAAGTTTTTCAAGAGTTTGAATTGCACGAAATGCAAGAAACCGTGTGAGATTTATAATTGCATGTACTTTATGCTTTATGATTCAATTTTTTTATAAACGCACCCTTTCTGGTGCACCGAATTCTTAGTGACGGAGCAAAAGATGAAGTTCACTTTTATTCATCTAAAAATATGGAATGTGTAAAGTATAGTGTGTTCCTCACAAAACAAATCGTTCAAATCATGCTTTCTAAAAGGTGCTCTTTAGCAAAGTCATTTCCTAAAAAGCGCGCTTTTCTAAACCCTCTTTTTTTGCGGGTGGGACAAATACGACTTTTTTTTTCGCTGGAAAAGGCCTTAGGAAAGGCTGTAGAGCTTCAAAAATGTTTTCATATAAGGGAATCATATACGTAGATTCCGAATTTCGACAAATCAGATCTCGCTGACACGTCAAATTTGGGCTAAAAGGTAAAAACTACGCAACTTCGCGATTTCCCGCAGTTTCTGTTTGCAAAAAAAAGCAATAGTTACACTTTATTTTGGCTTTGGAAAATGAAAATAACTTTCTACCTATGAACTGCGAGATCACGGTAGTTTAGCACTTTTTACAAAACATAATTTGATAGGAGTACACTCTAGTAAAGTAAATTATATAAGAAAATGTTCGCAAGAAAACGGGCTTTCAAATGAGGCAAAAACTATAACAATTCATTGTCAAAATAATTAGATAATTTGAACTTTTCTGCAAGTGATCGCTAACTTTTTTAACAACCTAGTAACAAGAAGGGAATTTGGACGGTAAATTTAAAAAAGCGCTAGAAAAAGGGATAGATTTTACAGAAAGGGGGAGAAAACTTATAAAATTTAAAGAACTTAAAGAAAACTCGGTATAAAACCCGGACGGTGAAAATGCAGGGAGTCGGACAAATGCTACCTTTTTTTGCGCACCCGGACATTTGCGCACCTTGCCCATTAGCGCACCTTTTTTTCGCGTTTTAAAAAGCTCTAAAAAGGTAATATTAACCAATTTCTATTCCAAAAGTTGTTTTTCTAGGTAATTTGAGGGTGTTGAATTCAAATTTTGACATAACAGAGCGTGTGGAACCAATTTGAAAGACAAAATGGCTAGATCAAAATCGCTAGATCAAATTACAGAAAATTGTCGATCTTTCTCTTTGTATAACTCCGTCCGTTTGTTTCCACAAGCTCTGATATGTCAAAATTTCGATTCTACGCCCTAAAATTACCTAGAAAAACAACTTTTGGAATAGAAATTGGTTAATATTACCTTTTTAGAGCTTTTTTGCTTTTTGAAAACGCGAAAAAAGGTGCGCTAATGGGCTAAGTGCGGAAAAAAAAGGTGCGCAAATGTCCGGGTGCGCAAAAAAAGGTGCGCAAAAAAAAGGTCGCATTTGTCCCACTCCCAAAATGAAAAAAAATATTTTTGGAAAATGACAAAAGGGAATTTTTGTGTGGGGTACGGTAGGGTATCCACGCTTTAAAAAAAAAGCGCGTCGCGTCGCTTCACTCCCTTAAAATCGAAAACTCAATAGAAATCTAAGTGTTTTTAGAAAAGAACACAATAATTAGTTGAGCAGTAGACTGACTACTAGTTTATTTTTAGTCACCCCGACCACAGATGAGCCAACTTCACCGCAGATCACTGAATGCGAAAATGCGATTTGCAAGAAATGTTTCGACAAAACTTATGTAAATGAAAGTCTCGTCAATTCATCCAATCAAACAACAGCTTATTTTCTGATTGGTGAGTTCTTTTACTAAACAAAGTGTTCATAAAAGCTTTCTTTAAAGCTTAAAGCTTAAAGCATTAAAGAAAGCTTTCAAATCTGACTTTATTGGTGTACTTTGTGCTTTCTTGTAAGCATCGGACTGAATTCTTTCAATTTTCTCATAGAAATGAATGAAAAGCTAAAGATTCACTGCTTTAAACCCAGCCGTAAACCTTTAAACCGTAAATTGTACCCAGCTACTCAGCTTCGTAACCCAGCTACCGTAAATTGTAACCCGTAACTCGTAAATGGAAACAAACCATTTCTGGCACTTGCTCAACGAAATGGAGAATTTAGTGCACTAGATGGGGTGTGTTTACGAGATTTGAGCAAAAAGTACACCAAAAAGATGATTTCCAGAACTTCTCTCGAATGATTCACTCGTTTTGACGATTGATCGAAAGGGTTACAAACTTGTCAAAGTAAATTCTAATATTTTCAAAAAATCTCGTCAAATTCAGGATTGGAAACAGCCGGAATGTGTGATCTGTCATGAGGAATGTTCGTTTTTTGATTTTTTTTTGATTTTTTCGACCTATTTACTGCATCTTTACAGTTTCTCCATCAATCGATTCGCATTTCCCTTGTATCCTCTCTTGTCGTCACGTCATTTGCATTGAATGCTCGGAAACTATTCGTAAAGAAAAGAAATCTGTCACACAATTGGCCTGTCCAATTTGTGCACAAATGAGTGCATATCCGGAGAAGGAAACAATGACGAATAATAATGTTTATCTTGGTGAGGATTATGGCAATTGGATTACGGTATTATTTGGATTACTGTAGGCCGGTCGGTTGAAGAGTGTTTTCCTCTCAGGTAAACAATTGCTTGAGTAAATTTGCATTAGAAAATTTTTCGCTCAAGTAATTGTCGAGTAACGCACATTCTAAACTGCATCTATTTTCCAATTTGACATATACCGTATTTTCTCTAATAGTAGTCCACCAAGAGCGTTGCCTAAATTTCTCGAAATCTCGAGAACCGCTTATCAGAACCTATCGATGTGCGGTCGGAAAATGTAGCTGACGATGAGATCTAGTGGGGGGATTTAAAAAAAATACATTTATTGAAAACCAATAATGTGATACAAACAAAGGGTACATAATAAGACATAAAGGTTAAACACACAATTTTATGGCACTGCGGCCGTTCTCACCCCTATTTACCCCTATTACCCAAATGTTGTGAAAGAAAAAAACCCACTTGGTGGGAAAAAGAAACATTTTTATCTTGCCAGAGTGATTGAACCCTCGACCTTCCGCTTAAGAGACAAGACTCCTAACCGGTCGGCCATCTGGCCAACTTTGATTTGAGTGTTGAGCTTCTGCAAAAGCTTGGAAACCGTAAAATAGTCATCAATTTGGCTCGCCCGGGTGCACTACTATTTTAGAAAATACAGTAAAAGAAAAAGCAAACAAAATCATTTCAAAAGTATGGCAACTTTTTCAAAACATCCAAATTTGCGTTTTTCTCTTGGTTTTTGGCACTTTCCGAATTTACTTTCAATAAAATTATTAAAGCGCGTAGTTTTTCGTCCTTTTTTTCCTTTTCACAATTCGTGGGGTAGGCTAATTTCCGAATTTTTTTTTCTGCGCAACAGGGTCATTTACGCCACTGGATCGTTTGCGCAACTCACCATAACTCTTTGTTCGAAGTCGGTCAATCTTTATGATTTTGATTTCATTTTGTTGCGCTTATTGAGATCTACCAAATAAAACCAACATCATAGAGATTTGCCGACTTAGAAAAAAGTTATGGCAAGTTGCCCAAACGATCCAGTTGCGGAAAAAAAGATTGCGAAAGTTTGCCTACCCCAAAAATACCAAGCATTGTTGTAAAATAAAATCCTAAATTTTTTTTGTTTGGTTTAAATTCATTTGAATGCAAATTTACATTCAAGGATTTTGAATATTTGTCTGGATTACGGTGCCTTTTTTTGAGCGTACTTTTTAGAAAACGCATTACTTGAAGGGAACCCACTCTAGTCGGACTGTAGACCGGTTAGAGTAGTCGGATTATTTTAGCTAAATTAGTAGCCTAGTGCTTGAGAGGGGAATTTGCTGAGAATTACTGTATGGATGACCGCAATCTAGTGCTTTTTATTCTCAACAGAACAGTATCTTTCATTAAACAGTTTATCCTGTGCTCCAAACCTTTTCAAACCCATCCTCTAGCACAGTCAATTCTTCGTTTTAAGACGGTTTTTCATTTTTCTGTAAAAAAAAAATGAAGAACTGAGTGCACTAGAAAGTGGGTGTTTACAAAATCTAAGCACATCTCCATCAGGGTTACGACATCTCCATCAGGATTACGATAATAATGATGATAATCAAAAGATAAGTAGTATCTGTAATTTGAAAAATTTTCAGAATTTCTCAATGAACTCCCACAAATGATCGAGGAATTCGAATTCTCAAAGCTTGGCTTAAAAAAGTGTATTCAATGTGAGGAAAGTGTAAGGTTTATTAAACCAAAAATACTTCTTACAATAAATTTACAGGCAACGATTGACAAGATGTACGGATGTGTGACATGTGACAATGGGGTGAGTGGGAAATTTATTGCAAAAGTGATAGTGTACAGTCGATAAGGCACCCTTCGTATTAGGACCTGATTTCTGGGAGGGAAATCTGGTCTCACCTTGGTCCTGAAGATTCTGTAGCCTAGCCAGGGTCTAACCTCGAGAAACAGCCATGGCAAACTGTAAATGCTAATGTAGGCAAGGCTTTGGTCTTGAGCATTTTGAGCTAGAGCTAAGTCAGACAGAGCTAAGTCAAACTATAGCCTAGAAACCGTGGCATAAAGATACTGTTAGTCGACAGTTAAGCTTAAAAGATATTCAGTCAAATGAACACATTCGAGCCGCCAGCTTTTCCCGACGAATCAGCAATTATCTCGTCGAGAAAGTTTCCGATTTCACAAGAGGACCAAATCGAGCGAATATCTTCAAAAGAATCATTTCGCCACGTCGTGGGCCAATCACTGAATATCATGTGAGTTTTTGACTGCATGAACTGGCTATGGATTTGATTATTCTATCAAGGGAACTGTCTAGCTCATTATCCGTTATTTTGGATGCTGTTTTTGTTTTTAATCGATCTTTCAACTCAGCTTTGATAAGTTTAAGCTTTTTTTAAGCTTCTTCAAGCTTCTTTAAGCTTTCTACAAGCTTTTTTTTAATAGTTTAAAGGCCAAAAAACATAGGATTTAATGTGAGTTCTTCAATTCAACACACTTTATTCAATACTGAGCCTGTCAAATGCTATGCGATCTATACCATTTAACGCTGAATTTTATGCTAATTCCGAATATGTATTCCGTTTTTGCTAAGTGACAATCTGCCAGGAGTTATAAGCGTCTAAAGTTTCGTTAGCATTTTGAAAGTTTGTTGCTTTAGCTCTTAGCGGGCTGCTCGCGGATCTAATTCGTTGAAGCCGTGGCCAAGTGGTACTTGTGGAGGCAAACAAACGTAGTTATACAAATCGACAATTTTCTTTAATTTAACCTTATTCTCTTTTCACTTTCAAATACGTTCTACAGGCTACAGCTAGAGTTCTACAGCAAATATGTTAAAATCTTAAATTCTACACCCTAAAATCACCCAGAAAAACATCTTTTGATGTTAGGTTTTTAGGGCTTTGTTTTGATTAAGGTTGGCTTTTTAGAGCTTTTTTTTTGAAACACGAAAAAAGCTCGCATTCCTGTCCAATTCCTCAAATTTTTTCGCAAGAACGGTAAATTTTTTCAAGTTTGTGGATTACTTGCGAGGAAAACACTCGAGTTTTTTTTTGGTTTTTTTTGTTTCTCGCTCCTTTCCAGAGCCAGACCTCACAAGTACAACCACTTTGGTTTTTTTTTTCAAAAAGTGCTGACTAGTTCTTTGTGCTCGCACAACATATTTCTTGTTGTCATATTTTTATAAAGTTGAGCATTCATTGAATACTTTTACTTTGGTATACTGTGGCAGAGCGTAGACTATAGCGACTGAATACTTTTCCAGGTTTGTGGAACATGTATGTTTCGAGGTCATCGACACCATTTGATCAGGGAACTTACAGTGATCGAGGTTTAGTTTGACGATGTACTTTGTACGATTGCATGTAAACTTTCTGGTACACTAGTAGTAATTTTCTCACTTTTCATGTTGTTGCCAAGAAAAACGAAGAATTTAGTGCACTAGAAAGGCTACGTTTACAAATTGATTTTGTAATCTCAATTTAGGCAGTGAAAATGAAAGACGAGTTGGGGAAAGCTGTGACGAATTGTCTGCATACTTATTCGAAAGAGCTTTTCCCGGGATTGAGTGAGCAAATTTCGGAGAGAATTGCTCAATTTGAAGAGGTGAGTAAAGCCTTGACAAAGAGAAACAAAGTTTGATGAACGCAACCGTTTGATTCTTATTTGGTTCCTATTTGTTTGCTATTTGGTTCCTATTTGGTTGCTATTTGGTTCCTATTTAGCTCTTATTTAGCTCTTATTTAGCTCTTATTTAGCTCTTATTTAGCTCTTATTTAGTCCCTATTTGGTTCCTTTCTGACACTGTGAATTCTCTAATTCATTGCACCAGAAATAGTGTTTACAAAATGAAGTTAAGTTAAGTTAAGTTTTAACTTTCAGAAAATGCTCATCAAAATGAAAATGATGGAGGAAATCGAGAATTTCGAGGAAATCCAAAGATTTCATCGAGAATTCAGGTTGTGTAAATGAATTGAAAAAATGAAAAATTGAATTTTGAGCGAATTTTGAGTGAATTGATGACTCGTTACGAGGAGATTTGCGAGAGTTTTGTGCCGCATTTACGGGGATTCGAGATGAAAATTATGGTGACAATAGAAAAAATATAAAAAGACACCTACCGTAAATACTGTAATAGTACCCCAGCCCCATAATGACGGTGCGGAGTGTTGTGTAGTCTAGCTTTGAACGAGTTTTTCTCGGCACTGGTTTATGCTACAATGCGCGCTTAGGTATCAAAAAATAGCCCTGAATTTCAGCTATTTTTTGATACCAAAGACGCATTTTTTGAAAGTACGGGCGCTTTGAAAAAAATTAAATACTAAAAAAACTTTTGCGACTACGCGACTGTACGAGGGGGTTGGAGTACGATTAAAGTATTTACGGTAAATGATCGTAGTTGAATACTGGAAACTTGTTAGTAACAGATCTGCAAATACAAAATTTACAGAAGCTCTTGGCGGAAGTGGAGACTAGTTGAAGGGAGGTTTTTACTCAAAAAATATTGGAAAATCGACTTTTCATCTGAGTTTTTTTTGTAAAAATAGACCATTTCATTCGATTCCAATAGACTAATGAACAATTTCTTTCATTAATTTTACTGAAACTTAAATTTTGAATAATTTCATCTCTTCAGTTTGTTCTTTTAATGTGTTTCAATCCTTTGATCATTAGCTGGATAAAGATTACTTTATGGAATACTGTTTAATTAAAGATTGCTAACTATTGCAAGCAAAAGAAAGATATGATAGCTTTCGAAAAAAAAAAACGTTTTAGAAAAACGAAATTCTGTTTTTCAACTTTAACATTGTTATTCTCAATCTGTTTTTTTTCCCTTGAATTGATCGAAATTTTATAACTTGTTATCATGTACATGCACAGTTTTACAAATAAATCTTGGTTAAGTTTTTGAAAGTTATTTCGACTTATTTTGATTAGTTACATTTTGATCGAAGTCCAAAACGATAGAGTTTGTGAGATGGCACACCGAATAGATGTGTTACTTTTTTTTATTGTATAACTACAATTTTGTACAGGGCTCAAGGTTCTAAGGGTCATTGTCAAAATTGTTATCAAGAACAGGTTTCTTTTGAACAAGTTTCGGAATTCAAATAAAATTTCTGAGGATGAAACTGAAACTTGAGCACTTAGATTTTCGACAAGAACGATTTTTGTAATAATTCATCCCTTTTCGGAATTTTTTTCAATGTTTTAAAACAGACAAAAATCGAATGCAGATATATAATTTTATTTCTTATGTAAAAAGACAAAGTACCAACAAAATCGATATTCAAATAACAAAGAAAATATTTACAATTTTTCAACTAGCAAAAAACTAAACCTAGTAAACAAAAGCAATTATTTATATTTTCCTTTCCATTCGAGATCGTACGGTGAAAGCCAACTTGTGCAGTTCTGCATATTATACTTCATCATGATGTCCCAATTGAAGCGATTCTAAAAGGAATTCTATACAGTAAATTAAATCCGTAATAAAAAGAATGTTTATATGGAGAAGGTGTGCAAGCTTGACTCATAAATATATTGGCGATTGTGGAGAACTTAACAAACAAACGAACCTGATTATGTCTTTGAATGAAGTCCTCTTTTACTCGTCGTTCCTCCAAAATTTTTTGACTCACAAATTCGACGGGAAACTTGAAGCGCTCGCATAAATAAAGGAGAAAAGCTTGAGCCTAAAAAAGAATAATTGGATAACATACTCAAAAGCCAATAACTTACTTCAATCTCCGTAATATGTCCACCAATCTCCAGGATTATCCGTTTCGCTTTCACTGGTGTCACGTAGTGATGAATTGATCCTTTTCCACCACCGAGTCGAGTACCCTAAATTCAAATAGTAAATTTCTTCTAATTAGCTTTTCTAATACCTGTGCTTTCTTTGTCCGCGGTAGCCATGGAGGATCCACTCGCCAAATCGCAAACTGTTTATCGATGAGATTTTTGTTGACACGATCCTAAAAATGAATATGATTTAGATAAGTAGTGGCTCAAAATTTAATACAATTTTACTTATTAGTACTTGGCAGTACGCGACTATAAATATCGGAGTAACGTAAAAAAACTTGCCTGTAGGAAATCAAAATCATCAGCGGAAATCATTCCTCCAGAAACAGCGGCTAGCCCATATTGTTCGTGGACCAACTCGGTGTGAATCTAAAGAAAACACTATACAAAAGAAAGAGTGCTTCATCTACTCCAGCATAAATTTATCCACTTGCTATTGACACAAACCTCTTCAACTCCTCTCCCCCAGATTGTCCTTTTCGATGTCTTGTATTTTTCCTCTCCCTTTTCTGGATCGTATGTCGGCTCTTTGGGCATCTTGGCTAATCTGAGTTGACCATCGGGTGGAAATGTAACATCTAAACAAATAATTTACCAGAGATAGTTCAAAGTTATGGTAAGTTGTTAAGTAGTTAAACTTAAACTCATTAATTTAAACCATAAATGAACTCACTTTCAAAAGTTGCCGGAAATGGATATCTTTTCAATCCTCGAACCAGCGTGAAGAGTTGTCTTGCGCGAAGCATCGCCGTTAGATTAACATCCATCTCCCGGCTTCACTAAAATTAAGGTTTAAAATAAAGAATTGGGCATAACCTAGAAAACAAAATAAAAAAACATGAATCATCAAAGTTTTTACGCAAAATCTATTGATTGCCCATAAAATACGGATGAATTGTTGTTTAAAACTGTACTAACGCTATAATTTACGCAATACTTGAAGAAAGATGAAAACTTTTGCTTTAGTTACTCGACTTTGATTTATTCTCAAAGAACTTGCACTTATACGCCACGAATTCGACGTCATTTGTACAGTTGCGTTGTTTCTAGAGCTGAAATCAAATTTCGTCAATTGCCTGACAGAAATTAAGTATTAAAAGCAAATTCGTTAACTGAATCACTTTAGATTTATAGGCGTTTTTAAATTCAATTTGAAAATCTTTGTTGGGGTAGGCTAATTTCCGCAACAGGGTCGTTTGCGCAACTGGATCGTTTGGGCAACTCGCCATAACTTTGTTTCTAAGTCGGCCAATCTTTATGATTTTTTTTTCATTTTGTTGCACTTATTGAGATCTACAAAATGAAACCAAAAACATAGAGATTGACCGACTTAGGAGAAAGTTATGGCGAGTTGCGCAAATGACCTAGTTGCGCAAATTAGCCTACCCCTGTTTCCTTGTACTTTCAAAGCCTATCTTTCATGGTCTTTCTAGTCTTTTACTAATTTGCCTTTTTTCCAGATGGATCACTACATTGGACCTGACGGAAAACCATGTCGTGCCTGCGTTTCGGTCGAGGATTTGATGCAAAAAGCCGGGAAAATCGCCCAGAAACGAGCCAAAGAACAGGAAAAAAGCAATCAACCGAGTACGACGACTGAAGAAATACAAGCCAAAGCTTGCCCAGCTGACAAAGATGAATTGGGAAGAAGCACGTGGACATTATTGCACACCATGTCGGTCTATTACCCGGAGAAACCGAACGATAACGATAAAAATAATGCGTCGAGTTTTATGGAAAATTTGGGGAAAATGTATCCGTGCGACTTTTGTGCGAAAGATCTACGCGATGATTTGAAGAAAGATCCGCCGAAATTGGAGTCAAGGAAGGAATTCGCCGAATGGATGTGCGAATTGCACAATAAAGTAAATGATAAGCTAGGAAGACCGAAATTCGATTGCGCGAAAGTGTTTGAACGGTGGAGAGATGGATGGAAAGATGGATCGTGTGACTTTTGAGGGGAAATTTCGAGGTGAATAGGTGAAGATTCGGTTTTTGTGACTTGGTGTCTAGTCTTAGCATAAGTTATTCATTTTTAGTGTATTGTATAGGTTTTTGTGATTTTTTTTATAGCAATTTAGTCAGCTTTAAAGTTAATTCATGTTGTTATAAGGTTATTGTTGTCGGTGATTGCTCAATTTTGGTCTAATTGAATCATTCTTGTTATTGTGCTCATTTAAATTGTCGACTTTTCTCCCAAAATGGTTAAATTTCAGGCATGAAAAAATCGTTTATCCATTTGAGGATTCCGGCGATCATTCAAACGAGACGAAAACAGGCATGGGTACACAAATGGCCACGATTTATGAGGTATTTCGATGAACCTATCTAGAAAACTTTGGATAAAAGACTCAACTAGCTTTTTTTAAACTTTAAAATATATTATTAGATTTGTTTTATTAATTTTATCTCACTGATTAATCAATTTTAGATGGCAAGAGCTCGAAAACGAGATGAAAGGCGATTATGATCAGAAACAACGAATGAAGAATCATCGACGATTTGGTGATATGTATTTGACACCAGAAAAACCTGAAGATGGTGAGCTCTTTTCAACACTTTCCTGCTTAAACTTTTCTTTAGTCATGCCACCAAAAGATTTGGCCGATATGACGAGGAAGGAGACGGGAGCTTTTCCGGTTGATTTGCACACAAATCACACTCAAATGCGCTACCTTGATCACTCATTTGACAATATTCGACGTTTCAAGAGATACACCCATTTTCAACATTTGCAATATGATCAGAGGTGAGAATTTCGTCCTAAAATAAAGATTTCACAAATTGTTTAAGTTTACAGCTTTCGTATTTCAATTTCAATTTTAGAATGATCCCTGAAAGATTACTTTTCCTTGGTCCCGACTTGGCGGCAGCTCACTTTCTTGTTCATCGAGGAGCGGCGATAAAATTTCTGGATGACGATATTTGGTATAAAAGAGATAAAAAGGTGGGATTTGGTTAGGAGAATGTTTAAAAAGATATTATATAATGGACCCACATACTCTTATGCTGACTTTTTAGTGAAATACAACATTTTCTTTTCAGGGCTACAGTCTTCCTGGCCGTAAAGTCCCGGGTCTCTTCATTGAAGCCATTGATGCATCTGGCACTGAGTTGATGTTTGAAGGTTTATAAAAATACTGGATATTTTCATGTTTTTATTCAGGATTTGAAAACCTTCACGATTTAAGTCATTTACGAATGCTACGACTTGCCAATTGTGAATACATCGATGATTGGGTAATGGGAAAAATTGGAGGTCTGTTTGGATAAAGTTTCTAAATCTACTTTGATTTAGGAAGTATGCCAAATTTGGAGATGCTCGATTTGTCCGGTTGTTATAAAATCAGTGCAAAAGGTTAGTGAACAAACTTTAACAGTAACTTTACCAATTTTCAGGTCTAATGGGTTTAAAGCATTTGAACAAATTGCGTTATTTGCGCCTTGAAGGACTGTCACATGTTAAAGTGGGGTTTAATTTATAAAAATCAAAATCCTTAACTATTTAGGATCTTGGTCAAGCAGCTCTCCTACTTGAAGAAGCGATTCCAAATTTGACGGTACTCGGCGTTGACTATGTGGAACAAATGGAGAATTTGGAGGCTGAGACGAGACTTTTGGAAAATCCGAGAGTGGTACAAGATGCTAGAGGTTAGTTTTGCTACTCTAGTCTTTAACTCTATCATAGCTTTTAGCTAACTAACCGAAAAATTTTAGGAAACGCCTTTGCTGAAGACGATAATGGCCGCCTCTTTTACTTGAATGGCTCGATTAACGAAAGAACAGCTGTTGATGATGAGGATCGACCCATTATGACATCAACTATTAGAAGGTAAACAATTAGAAGGTTTCTCTTTTGATTCAAAATTTCCATTAAGGGAAATCCCCGAAATGGATGAGGTGGAATTCGAGAAATTGGATCGATTATCGGGTGGAAAATTGAGGCATATGTTACTTGGATCACCAAGTGGACATTTATGGGGAGAACAAGTGAGATTTTTGAGTTTTTTCGATAAAGAAGCTTAGAAGCAAGAGCTAACGATCAATAACTAAAAGATCTATCTCTAGGTTGAACGAATCCTGCAACACGAGGCCAAGCTATTGACGGAAGACTCGATACCGGTCGACCCGAAAATGTTGCCGAAAGAGAAAAGAACATTGAGATTACCGCCGAATTTGGATGAACGAGAAGAATGGAAGAGTATACTACAAAGTGAAATGATCAAATTTAGCAAAGAGGTGAGATTTACTTGATCGACAAGTATCTTACAATTAGTTGAGTACTACGAGTAACATGCATGATTAGAAACCGATTTCCGAATGTTAAAAATAATTGCTAAGATTTAATTCGTTCAGATTGCCGATCAAGAAACCTCCCCACCAAAGAAATTGATCGAAAAACAAGGAAATTTGTAGGTTATAGGTTAGTAGGGCTTTTAGTTTTTAGATTTTAAAGTTAGTTAGTGGTCGAATTCTTTTAGAGATAGGGTTTTATATTAGAACATCCAAGTTTTCCTGTTAATTTCTCATGTTCTATCGGGTTTTAGATTACTTTAGTGTCGTTAAACTTTGAATTTCAAATTGTTTGTGGAATTATTGTTTTTTTGGGGTAAAATGAAGATTTTGCCCAAATTGTGTTGTTTTTTATAGTGTTTCTGCTTGTAAATATTTTCAGGAAGATTGATAAATCGTTGCGAAATTGTGGATTCGTGAGAGTACGGAAATCTCTCTAATAGTAGCACTCATTTACTATTTTTAGAACTCGTCTAGGACAACGGTAAACAAGTCAAATTGCATAAAAAGTAAAAATTGTAAAAACACATCTGCCCAATCAGGAATTGCCCCCAAAGCGCGGGAAATTCTTCTTGGCCATCTGTCTATATTTTTCCGTTAAAAGAAACATTTGCAAAAGCTATTTCTCATTAAACATTCACCTATCCACCCCCAAATGCTACATTTCCCCCTAAATCACCTCCCGATTTCCCTCCAATCTTCGATTTTTTCAAAAGTTTCTTTTCCCGATTCTCTAAAATTTCTCTCAATCAACAAATCCCTTCGTTTGTTCATTTTATTCCATGGACCATTTCACGAAAAGTCGCTCGAATTTGTCGACTTTTGGATGAGCCAGACATATTGTTCGCAAGGGGAGCTTTACGTGAAAAAGAAAGCAATAAGAATTGAAAATTGGCAAAAGAGAATCTATTTCAAATATGATTATATAAGAAAACGATTCGATATTGAAGAGTTTACCCTTCAAAGGTATAACGTGCAAAAATGGACTTTCAACTACGAAAAAAGGGACCACGTTTTCGGGAATCTATTCTCGAAAATTCGCTTTGTCAGAAACTTTCACGCGTCCCTGAACGAGGAAACTTTCGGGGAAATGCCGATTCGAGTGAAATTCATCGAGAATTTCGAATTCCCTTTAGCAATCACGAAATCACATAATTTAAAATGGTTATTCAGGGATTTTCATCCGCAAATCCTATCCCAAATCTCAATGAATCTTGGTAGTGATTTTGAAATGCCAATCGGGACAATTGAACGGCAAAATGAGGAACAATATTGGAAAAATATTATCTTCAAAGCAAAGACTGTCATTTTTGGATCACTTTTGGAAAAATTCAGGGAAAATGTGAAGAAATTCCTTCGAGATTCCATTCTGGTCACGGAAAAACCGATTTCTTTCTTTTTCATGGTTTCATGGGAAAGAGTGGAGAACTTGAAAGAGCAACTTCTCGATTTTATGAGAGAAAATCACTTGGTTAGGCCTATTCGAGAGGAATCGCCGAAAACGGAAAGGATTCGACGAGAATTCGCGAATTTTTGTGCCGGTGGCCGAATTCAGAGATTGAATGGTTGTCAGTTTGACCAAAATGATCCCATTTTTGAGAATATTCACAATGGAGATCAATTCCTCATCAATAATCTGGGCCTTTTTTGTGTTTCTCCTTGATTGATTAGTTTTGTCTTCCAATAAGTTTTTTCTCATTTCACTGAGTTTTAATTGATATCTGATGGCCAAATTTACATATTAAAATTTGCATACGCCTCCATCTAATCTGAATTTCTTTTTCAAATTCATTTCTTTTCAAATTCATTTCTTTCTCAACTTCTCTTCTCGATTCGGTTTCTTCTTTTACTGGTGTCTTAATTTAAACCCGGATTTGATAAATATCAGAAAGAGTCACTTCTACGTACAATATTAAGCCTCCTTCTTTAGGAGATAATCCAAATGCCGACCGAAGATGTGATGCGTGGAGTAGCCGAGCGTCTATCCATCTCGGCTCGGCTCAATCTCGCTCAACTCTCCAAAAGGTTTGCGTTGATACTCCGCTTCATCAAAAAGCCTCGATACTTGGAGATTTTTGATAACTCCCATATCCCTCGGCTAAATAGCAGCTGTCGTATTTGGAAGGAAGAATTGCGGTCGAATGTTTGATCAAACGAGTTTTGGATGAGCATGGGAATTATCAAGAAAAAGTAGAATCTTCCGATTGAACTTTTGGCTCCATTTTCTAAGATAGTTCTCAAATAATTCACCTATCATCCATGATTTATCCTCGGCAGCTCCTCCTTGTAGTGCTCGAAAAACAATTCTGTGTCGCTTCTTAAATTTGTTCAATCAGCCGCCACTCGCTTGAAAATCAGTAACTCCCTTAATTCTTGCCAACTCCATCGTTTTTTCACGAAGTATGTTTTCATCCACGCATTCGTTTTGGCTTCGAGCTTGTTTCAACCAAGTAAGCACTCCTTTCTCAATAAGCTCGTACTTGCTCGTCTTGAGTCGTGCCCTTTTTGTGACTCCTCCATCATCGATTGCTTCTGAAATCCATTCCGCTTTATCCAGATATCAGCAAAGAATTCGTGATAGGAAATTAAGTCTACGGTAATTTATCCAGAAAACGTTCGTTGTTTCGAAGCTTGTTTCTCAACGTTTTGTTTAACCGGAACCAAACACGGAGTTCGCCATATCGAAGTTCGACTGTATCCCAAACCAAATTTATTTAAAACTGCAATAACTAAGAAAGAAAACACAGAGTGTGAAAAGCGAACAAATAAAACACAAAGGTGTAAAAATGAAAACGTTCAGCAAAATACAAAATACAATGTTCGTCGAGCTTTCCACGAAAAGCGCCCAATTCGCTAATCCCTCAATTATTCAGATCCATGTCAAGAGTTTCGTTCAACGCCTAAAAGCAAATTATTACATAGCAAATTAAACATAAGAACCGAACTCACCATAATGTCGACAGAAAGTTGGAGCAAATGGGATTGATAATTTTCCATAAAAACTTCCACAGCCGCCAGCGACTTACTGAACATAAAATTTCTTTGGCTTAAGCCAAATTAAAAACTCACGTCAATAGTTCGTGTTTTTTCCGAAATTCAACAAAATTGAAAACATTCGTGAAGCACATTTCGTTTCCTAGTAACTTCTAAAATGAATCATATAAATGGATTAATTACCTCGAAAAGTTACCTGAAAAAAGGCACCATCGCATTTGTGCCCTTCGAGGAAGCTTTTATTTTTGTCACAGACCTCGGTTAAATCCTTTTGCTGTTCCACGTTCAACTCACAGGCCTAACAACAAGCTTTTTCTTCTCCGAAATTTTGCAATTTAAATCGATACCCTTTTTTCCATGAGTGAAATGGCCTCAGGTGAACGATGTTTCGTAAAAGCACACACAACCTAAAAAGATGACATACAATGCCCGCCGTTAAACTACTCACCTCGGAAGTACAACTGGAGCAGTGAACCATTTCTTCAGTGATACCCTAAAAAGACCTTTAAAAGTTAAAACTGCAACTATACCATTTTGCAACACTCCTTGCAACTACACAATTTTCCCATTGAATCCAACTGACGGGTCATCTCGGGTAACTCATCCAGAAAATCTAAATCAAGTTTGAACGCTAAGCTTTGCTTTTATACCGTGAAATAGATTCTTCAATCCATCCGTGTTTGCAAGAGTTCCCTCGTTGCATAATGGGCAAGTGATACTGTATTTTCTCAGATATTCCTTGTATTTCCTCATCTTCAGATAACATTCCGTGCAAATCATATGAGTGCAAGTAAGGAGAAATGACTTCTTTGCTTCAATGTTGCTTGAATCTAAAATAACCGATATTTAAAGGTTATGTCAGAGTCATCTTACATTCATCGTGGCAAATGAGACATTCGGGAATTTTGAATGGCTAAAATAGTTTCATTATTATCAAAATTAGATTGCAACCTTCAGCAGAAGGTATCCATGACCCGACTGCGAGAAGGTCAAAGAGTCTAGCGACAAAACATCTAAAACTTGTTACACTTTTTTTGCTGATGATTCTAATTATTTCTAGTTTAAACTAATAAAATGAACCCACCAATCAAAAAATGTGCAAACTTTGGGTTTTCAAAACAGTACACGCTATTGCATCGATGTTTTCTCTCCCTTTTCGCCAACGACTTCTCCTTCTCGCAGCATTCGTGACACATCACCAATCCACATCCCAAAAGTCGTGGTGTTCGGGGCTGATCAGCGGATTGAGCGACTAAAATGTTAAAAGATTGAATGTTACTGTTAAATCCTAGTTTAAAGCCTGGATTCACCCAAGCCTTCGCTTAATACGAAAAAAGGGTACTTTTCCAATATCGGGGGGAGCGAAAGGAAAATCGGGGGAGCAAATTTTGCCCCCTCGAAAAATGCATTTCCGGGACTGTATTTTAACTCCAACGTTTTTTTAAAACTTTAACAACGATGCGCTTCTCCGATATTTGTGCGTTCAAGGAATCGACGGCAATCGATTATTTCGTCACCAAAGGAGTCATCCAGTCGTGGATTTGCAACTGTGGCGAATTGATGAAAGTCCGCTCAAAGGGAAAAGATCTATTTCGCTGGGTATGTGACACTTGCGCACGGCGAAAGGTCCCCCAGCATTCAAGAGGAATTCGAGTCGATAACTTTTTGCAACAAACTAAGCTCCCGCTCGTCACAATTTTAAATAGGACATATGTAGCGCTGCCAAAATTTGCTCCCCCGATTTTCCTTTCGCTCCCCCGATAATCGAACCGCTCCCCCGATATTGGAAAAGAGCCGAAAAAAAGGTAAAAACTCACACGGTTCCTTGCAGAGGATACAGTTGAGCGACTTGAACACACTCATTTTCGAAAAGAAAAGAAATGAATATGACCAAAATTTCTCCCTTGAACATAACGAAAACAAGACACATTAGGATACGGTGTGCGGAACAGTTTTTAGAAACCCAAGCTAATTTTGTTTGTAGACTGGATTTTCCAATTTTGTTTGAACATTCAAGCAAATGTGTACTTTAAGATTTGCCTACTCAAAAAGATCAAAATTATAGTGCAAACATTTGGCAGCTGTTTTATGCCCTGTTAGACTTCTTTTTCTACTTAACGATTCATTTAATCTTTGACAATCCGTTTATTTTCCAGGCACTACCGCGTTTTCGGCAAATGGGACGATGTGACGATGATCGTTTTGGATGGAGATGCGGCAAGGATCGTTGGAGAGAAATTCTCGGCTCGGATTGAAAAGGTTTGGCTTGTTATTATGCTTTAGTAGTTGGTGTGGATGGCATTTTATTAACTATCTAGTTGCATCTTTGATTTTTGTTCCAATCTTAAAGGTCCGATGTGATCTAAATAGTTTAAAATCTATAGTAAAAGCTAACCAAAGGCTAAACTTAGAAGCTGCTTACGTTTAAACCGAAATTTTAAAATAGTTTATAGTTTAAGCTTGGAAAATTTAAATATATTGAATATTTTAGTGTAAGGCTTAGATTTTTTATGCTTTAGTTTGAAAGCGTGCTGGCCGGGACTAATTTCATCGATCGCCTTCTCCATCAATGTCCACGAGTGCAGAAGGTGAGTGTTTTAGTGAACTTGTAGACCATTAGACGTTCTCGACGCTTGAAACGTTAGTTTAACATTGTTTTTATTTGTTTTAGATCTTGATTCAATCATCGCTTTTCCCGGATGACGTGCAGGCGATCTCGAGGATTTCCGCCTCAATTCATCACTTGTCTATTGCGAATTTAAATTACAAAGTGTACGTTTTGGTTGGATTCAACTTTATGCCTTTATATTCCATTCTATTCTTTCTCTATTTTCTTTTCCTTCAGCACGCCGGATGGTTGTCGTTTCCCTTCATTCAAATGCGCATTTCCCCTTCTTCGCTCGCTGAGCATCGTACCCCGATTGGAGGCCATCAATCGACCAAGTACACAGTTAACACTCGAGGGAATCGAGGTGAGATTTACAAGCAATATTTGCGTACTTGTGACTCCTAAGCAGGTTTTTGGTTGATCGGCTTTAGGATCTGCCCTGCCCCGTGCAAAATTTATCGCAATTAGCATGCTTGCGGTAATCTTATCTTGATCGGATGTAAATTTAGTCAAAAGATCCATTCTTGCTTTCAATTTTTCAATTTCCCAGCACAATTCTTTTTTTCAGAAACTCTTCACGCCTACTCTTGTCAAATTGCGTTTGGACGGGATTGCTTTGCGAAATGAGGTACGATTTTGCCTGCTTTTATACACTTTGCCTATAAGTAGTACCTTAGTATCTCATGATTATATTCTCAACTCTAGATCCTCGAGAAGATCTTCACCCTCACATCACTGCAGGAGCTCCATTTGGGCGGATGTCTCGTCGATTCACTCACCGCGCAAAAACACGTCCATTTTGGTTGGTGGTTTTTAAAATTGTGATGGCTATAGTTGGAAAGCTTTGACTGTGACTGGCTACTTGCCAATTTTTTGTGAAAATATGATATTTTCATGATATGAAATGTGATATTTCATTTCTTAGACCGCTTGCCCCAATTGGTGCATTTGAGCCTGCCGGCCTCGCTTTTCACGCTTTATCGTCCGCTTAATGGTGCACAATTTGAGATCCCTTTCTCGTTGAAGTAAGCTTATACTTTAGTTGACCTTGTAATACTATTGCAATGGAATAGCCACTCAGCTATTGACTGTATTACTCAATTTTCAGATCGTTGACCCGCTTGGAAACGTTGATAATGCATTGTGAAATGCTTCACGAGGAATCCTTCATGAAATGTCTTCACAATTTCTTCCCACCAAATCTTAAGGTGATACTTTTATGGTGGCATCTCTCACTAACCTCATTTTAGACTCTTTACCTCGTTGGACATACGATTAGTGAGCCGAAAACGCGTGTATGGCAAACGCTGAAGTTGAGATTCAAGGTAAAGATTTAAATAGTTAGCAAACCGATAGTTTTAGAACAAATGCGAGGTCAAGTTTGAACCATAACCGTTTTCCAATTTAGATCGAGCGCATTCGAAGCGATACAGCCATTGTAAAAAACGGGCTTTATATGAATCAAATGCCTAAGAAACGGAAATTGGTGGGTTTTTGCCATTTTCTACTGATTCTAATCATATTCATTCAGATTTCTGACTCATTTTGGTGTGATCCGTATCGACCAGTGAATCGAATCATCGCTCGGAACAATCCACAGTCAATCATGGTGTGTGGTTTTCTTCGTTTCCTTGCCTAAGAGATCAAGAAATTCCTTTAGATCTTGTAACTTGTTGAAGAAATTCGTTTTTTTTGTTAATGTCGTCGTTTAGGCACCCGAGTCTTGGCAAGTGAGTGTACCCGAGGTGACCGGAGCACTGAACACGACGGTGATTCCAATTGTGTAAGCTTTCATCACTTATTATAGATCTTTAGAGGGCGCCTGTTACTGTAGCTTAAAGTCCAACATAACGTTTATTCTTTTAAGACTGTTAAGCCTGTAATGACACTCTTGAGCGAAGTTCTGAAAGTAGCCATTTTTTTCAATAATCTCCTCCTTTTAGCCGTCCAGTCTTCCATCCACCGCCACCCCGTTCTCCAGCCGTTCATACAGCTCGTTCGACCATTTCGGATCCGAATCAAATTGTAAGTTGGAATTTGTGGCTCTACATGGTTTAATTTACCAAATAATAGCTTTAAATTAGATAGGTTTTGGATCAGAAAATTTTTATCAAGTTGTGAACAGTTTGATTGACTCCATTCTTGTTTCCATTTTCAGGATAATCTCGACGAATTCCCGGGTTTGGCCGGGCTTTTGGTTTTCAACAACGATCCGGAAGTTGATGGCGAAGAGGCACAACAAGAACAGGAACAAATCGCTCATCCGACCGTGTCCACTCAAGCAGTCGCCGGCACACCGCCAGAACGAAAGTTTGTTTGCATGTTTTGCTTCTATTCGAATCTTCCCTTTAGTGTTACCCCTCAAGAAATGGCTCTTGTCGATCAAATGTTGATGGGTCTTCTCGGATTGGATTTGGTTGGGTTTTTTGAGCATTATCGTTTGATCATATTCATTTTAGCTTCGTATTGCTCCTCCTCCTCCCCTTGCCGAAGCACCAGCGAACAGTCCAGTCGCACAAACCTTACAAGAAAATCAGCGGTTGGTACTTATCGATTTGATTGAAAATTAGTTTATTGGCACCTCATGCACATAAATTCGTTTTAGCCTATCCACCAATGCTTCTACTTCGACCACCACTTCCACCTCAGGCGGTACCACGACAATTCCGAGGTTGGCTATTCTTTTTGAAATTGTACTTTACCAATTTGTCAAATTATTAACTAATTTATCATGTGTCGGATCTATTCGCTTACTGATCTTTCTTTCAGCTCACTTTCAACTTCTCTTGAGGTTCCAGCTCCGGTCTCCTCCGCCGCTCATCCGTCAATGTGAGTTGATTCATCGACTTACCTGTCTATCTCTCTTCTTATTGTCATTTTTCCCATTTAGGGGCCCCGCGGATCTGTCATCACGTGGCGCTCAGCCTCCTCCAACTGCTTCTTCATCATCAACCACTGCATCTACTAGGTTTGTTTGGGACTTTTGTCTTGAGCTAGGCATACTTATACTTTTCCGGCTCTTTTCCCACCAACCCCGTTTCTGAACTTAAACATTGAAACCTAATTGAAATTTTCCAAGTCCAATGCAGCAATGTAGCTTTAATTTTAGTACTGCCTCATCATCGTCGTCGACCCCGAGAACTCTGTAAAGCCAATTCGATTTTTACCTCGCTTTTCAATATGCATTCATTTCTTTTTCTTCATTCAAGCTATAGCAGATATGTGCATTCGAGTAATAGATGATTTAAAAGTGTGTAAAAAAATAGATTTAAAGGAGTTCAACAGAAAGAAGAGTGTAGTGAGTGTATCCACAGACATTTCAAACATTGTCAAACATTTGAAAATGTTTGATAAATAAAGCAGATTGCTAATAATAATTTAAAAGTGTCACTAACTAATAAAAAGTATGCCCAAAGACAAAAACAATAGTTTTTAAACGTTCAGGCTCCTTGTCAATCGAGTGAAAGTTGCCATTTCCATCGATTTCCATCCATTTTCCTCGACAGACTTCATCCTTCTTTAGATTATTTTGTCGATTTCAAAATAAAACTCAATCAAATTCAAATTTAAGTCAAACTTCTTTCCATTTACCTGTCTTGTTTCCATGGCGAGTATTCTGTTGGCATTCGAATTGTCGCCATTCGGTGCTGTTGATTCTCAATAAAGCAAAAGTTGAGGAAACCGGTTATGTCTGGAATTTGAAAATAGGCAATACGAACTAAAATGAATAAAAAAAACAACTTTCTACCGTTTTTAACAAAAGGTTCTCAAAAAAGCAAAAATCACTGCTCCCTGAGAGGCTCGAACTCTCGACCTTCAGATTATGAGACTGACGCGCTGCCGACCGCGCCCAGGAAGCCCGGTATTTGCCAGGAGATTACGGCCTTAGCCTGTAAACAGATAAAAAAACGAAAAACTTAAAAGAGACGGTTAGAAGGCTGAGGTGGGCAAATGACATGAGCCATATATCATACGACGCAGAATTTTCTTCAATTATTTCATTCGAAGATGCAATTCACCACTTGACGATTGCGAATTCAAATTACAAAGTGTACGTTTTGATTGAATTCAACTTCTTTATTTCATTCTGTTCGTCTTTTCTTTTCCTTCAGATGGTTGTCGTTTCCCTTCATTCGAATGCGCAAATTTTATATACGTTATACACGACCCCTTTTAAAGATATTCAGCCGCTTAAGTGATTTGGTGGCAAATTCCCTTCAAATGTAAAGATATTCAATTTATTGAGGTGATTACTTGATTACGTGATTCGAGGTGATACTCGATCAAAAACGTAACTTCTACAAAATTTTTTTATGTCATTATTAGAAATGTTGATAATATCCTAGTTGGGGGGTCATTTTTTTTTTCTTCAAAACCATTTTTTGAGGTAGTTGTATGTGTTGATGTGGGTCCGGCGGATGCCCAACCCACATGTGGTTTTGAAGAAAAAAGTGGTCCCCCAACTAGGATACTATCAAAAGTTTTTTTTTTTTCAGAATGCGATATTCTGAGGTGAGCTTAGTTTGTCCAAAGGCGCGGACGCATTTGAGCAAATTCTCAAGGATATTGCTCGTTTTTGGCCTCCTGGCCTAGAAGTAAATTCTATAGATTTTTAAAAGTAGTATTCATTGTCACTGTTACAAATAGTCACTGTTGTACTTCACAAATTTATTTAATTATTATGTTTGGTTTATGTTTATGTTCTTGCATTACTCGTGCATCTTGTTTATTCGTTGCTGGTATAGTTATAAAATTTAGTTACCACACGCAAACAGCGGCAAAGCCAAGAGGATCGAAGCCTGGCAAAGTTCTATTAACAAGAAAAACATTTTTGGGGATTTGGTTGTTTTTGAAAGTTTACCCCGGATCTTAAAATTTTACCCCCCCACCCGGATCTTAAAATTTTACCCCCCCCCACCCGGATCTTAAAATTTTAAGATCTTTTAAGATTTTACCTCCCCCGATTTTCCTTTCGCTCCCCCGATAATCCTTCCGCTCCCCCGATATTGGAAAAGTACCAATGAAAGTTAGGACAACAATAGCAATGAAATTTAGGACAACAATAAAAATCAAATTTTTTTAATATAAGTCAAAAGCTGAAAGATGTTGCACAAAATGGCAACCGGGCAAGCGACCATTAGAAATAGCAGTAAAACGTTGCCTTTGTCGAGTCAATACAGTTTTCTTCCGTACGTAGTTTTGTCCAACAGTGAGATTGATAGCCGACGAAAGCTTGAAACGGTTGATTATTTGCGTCATTTCTTCATAAAGTCTGACCGCAGTATGAAACTTAGCGAGACTCGGCATAAAAACCGGACAGTTTCCGATCCCACCATGGAATAAAGGCAAGAGAATTTTTGTGCGGGGTACGGTAGGGCCTCCACGCTTTAGAAAGCGCACCGCTCTGTTCCGCTCAACGTCAAAAAAGTTGTGCAAATGACCCTGTTGCGCAAATAAAATGGCGGAAATTACCCTACCCCAATATCTTATTAATGTCAATACACGCGTTAAACAGATAAAAAGTACTTTGAAAAGCACCAATTTCTCTCCACAGCTTCTAAAAGTTTCCTCGCCGCCGGTCTTTGTTGCCATTGTCTTTGATTTGCGCATGCGGGCTGGACTATACATTTAAAACAAATCTGTATTTGTTACGATTTCATCAGCAGTACCAACAAGGGTGTTTATGTACTATCTTCCTGCGATTGGTCCTCAGTTTACTTGTGTTTCTTTGGCCGTAGAAAAGTTTCGAAAAAAAGTATATTCCAGGATTTTTCGAAGGAAAACAAATAATAACAATTTATCATCATAAACGTAAAAACCAACAATTACAATTAGACGGCATCTTGTACGGGTGGCTCATATCCAGCTGGACGATCGATCTTGGTTCCATCAGCAGCAACAGTGGAAGCTCCCGAATCCCCATGCACATCCATTAAACGTCCCATCTCGAATTTGGGTTTCTTGAGGATCTTCACTTTGCGGATGTACACGTCTTGGAGGGGGTACGTGAATTGGCAGGCCTTCTCGATGTCTTTGCCAATTGAATCGGGGATCAACTTCGAACAAACTTCTTTCAGATCAGAGCCGCTGACCTGAAAATAAAAAAGGAATGACTGTTATTAGATGAATCTTCCATAGATCACAACCTACAAATTAAGTTACTATCATTCACTACTAGCAATTGCATGAGCTCACTAGAGGACCAGGAAGCAACTTACTTCTTTTTGGATGTGTTGCACCATCTTTGCTCGGATCTGTCGAACCTTTGAAGCCTTAGCATAGGTGGTTTTCTTGGCTTGATTTGGTTGACGTTTGGTGAATCCGATGCAAAAGACACGGAGAAGATAACCGTCAGTTGTCTTCACGGCAACGTTCGCCTCGACCATTGTCTAAATGTAGAAAATTAAAGTGGCAAAGAATGCAGAAAACAATATTGTTTGTGTATCACGCCTTCGATTCTATTAATCTATCGAATTAAACTGAAATAAAAAACCGTACATGCCACTTCTTGACGATGGAGCACATCTTATCGCGGGTGAAGCTCATTCCGTGGAAGTTGGTCAAGCAGTTCTTTCCTTGCACATCCTCGCAGATGAGACGGAACTTGCGGAAGTCGGACTCAGAGCTGTTGAGATCACCGAGCGACACCTCATATACACGGCCCTATAAAGAAAAAGATTATTTGTTTAAGTTTGTTAAAAAACTAACATTAGTGGCTCTAGTTTTTTTGCCTAGTACTTGTGCACTAAACAAATACAAATGTGCATAGCACCCGGACACTACCCGTGAAAAAAGCTATGAAACTAGTGGATAACTAACAACCAACTTTAAATGTTGAAGAGCAAAGTCTGTTACCTTCAATCCATCAGCGGCAATCTTTGTTCCGACAGTCTTGTTGACAAGGGTCTTTCCGATTTGTCGTTGCGAGAACATCGTTGGGGCCTTCACATCGTACCACTCCTTGCGGGTGAATGGGTCGACCACCTTCTTCTTGGCTCCCTTCTTGCCCATCTTTTTGCTTTTACCGACGGCCATTTTGACGTGTTACCCTGAATCATATAAAATTAAAGACTGACAAATAAGAAATAAGCAAATCGATAAAACATTAGATTGCAAAAAATTCGACCTACAAGTTCAGGGGTACTGGATTTTAAACTTTCAAATCTAGTGCCATTTCTCAAAAAGGTTTTGTGCGCATTGCGCAACAAGAACAACTTCCAAAAGTTCTAATTCATGTACAAAAAGTCCGAAGCAAATTTTAAAGGTCAGGGAGATTTATATCAGGCGCAATGACAGTATGAGGAACACCAAATGAGCAAAATACTAACGCAAAGTGGCAAACTAGACCAGAAAATTTCAATTCGACTTGAAAAAAGTTTACAACGTTAAAAAAAAGTTTCATTTAACAAAAGAGACGCATTGGTAAACTAAAAATGAAAATTTTAGGCGATTTGATGTTTTTCCGTTCAGCAACCCTTTTGACGGACTTTCCGTCGGGATACGGTAGCGGAGCGCGAAATAAAGTCATGGTCTAGTGGAAAGCTGGTATTTTCAAAAATTCAAGTCAAAAACCTCGCTTTTTCGCTTAGAAATTAAAATTCGATAAACTTTTGCAACTTTCAACTGCCTGTGAGTTTTGTTGAAGTGTTTACTTCGTTAAACAAGCATTTATTCGCATAAAAAGCCTAAAATCAAAACAACAATCGTCAAATAAAACCTACAATCAAGTGCTTTTACAAGTCTTTTTAGCACTCAATTTTCGAAAAAGTTTCATCAACTTTCTTTGATAAAGTTCATGGCGCTCTTTAAGCCATTAATAGTTTCAGTTACACAAATATATGTACAATTTATTTACACAAACGCTGTCGATATACAAAACTTATTCATCGAGAAAAAAATATAATTGTCAAAACACCCCGGAAAATCGTGGTGCAAAAGTCTTTTAAGAAAGACGAAATTAAGCTTTGATCAATATTTAGTCGCTCCTAGTTTTGCCAAAAGTACTTCTTTAATACGAGTAGGCATCGATGCAATTAACTTATCAAGAGTTCCAGGTCCAATCGTCCTCCAAATTTTTCTGATGTAAAACCATAGCTCGACTTTAAAATTGAATCGTTTTCCTCGCAATTTCAATTTTAAATAGGCCCATAGGTTCTCGATAACATTTAAATCCGGTGAAAATAGTGAAGATTTGAACAAAGAAACGTGATTGATCCCAAACCATCCCGTTAAATGTGCTTTTCCTTCATTCGGGAGAGTCGCAAAAGTCTCATGGTGGTGGTGGCCATGGTGGCTCAGAAATTTCATGAATTGGGAGTCATGAAATCGGGAAAAAGTGAAAAAATTTCAAAAATCTCCCCGCCCAAAATATTCACTTTGGCACCACAACAACCTCCAAGAGCCACTAGAAATTCTGAGAAAAATCGAGCTGAACTGACTTTTTTGAACACCGCGACTAAATATTGATTAAAGCTTAATTTCGTTTTTTGTGAAAAGACTTTTGCACCACGATTTTCAGAGGGGTGTTTTGACAATTCTATTTTTTTCTCAATGAATAAGTGTTGTAGAGCGATAACGTTTGTGTAAATAAATTGTGTAATATATTTGTGTAACTAAAACTATTAATGGCTTAACCCATTCGAAACTTCTGCAGCGAATAATCGCTGCAACAAAAACTCAGGAACGGACCGCTGCAGCGATTATTCGCTGCAGCGCTAATTGAGCTATTTTCATTCAATTAATTGGTTTTTTTTGCTGTTTTTCAGCATTACATGTATATTCCAATTGTAACAGATCTACAAATTAGGTGGGCAAAAAAGACGTGTCATATTTACCCGGAATCAATGCAGCCTCTGGTTTTGCATTGAAATTTTCCATAATAGCTCTAATCTTATAAAGCCGATCTCCTGCAGGATCCAGTTCATTATCACAAAAACGCAGGTTGCGAAGAATAGATTCAAATTTTGCTCTTGACATAATGTGGGACATGTGGGAAAATTCTCCTAATCCAGGCCTGCTACTCCAGTAGTCACGAATCTTCGGTAATTTGACGATTCCCATTTGAAGACAGGAAGAGCTTGAAAGATTTTGCATCGAAATCCTGCCAGTTTGTTTTCCTTTTTCCATGTTTATTAGACTCGCCTACTAAAATATTGTCGTCGATAAAATAATAACAATAATCTTGAAGTCAAATCCAAATCGTTCTTCATCAAAAATAAATGGTGTAGGAGACTCTCTTACATCCTTCCAACCATAAATAAACTGCTTCGGAGTCAAAAATGTCAAAAAAGGGTTTGGTCCGTAGACGAAAAAAAGAAAAAACGCTGCGGTTTCGAATGGGTTAAAGAGCGCCATGAACTTTATCAAAGAAAATCGACGAAACTTTTTGGAAAATTGAGTGTTAAAAGACGTAGCACATGACGTGAATACAAAAACAATCCGGTTAATTCTAATTATTAGGCTTGATTCGATTTAGAAATGGTTCTTTTTCGGATCCCAATTTCCCTCCAAAACATCCGATTCCACGAAAATGCGCTTCTTGAAGATTTGCTTCGTTTGGCTTGATTGATAATCTAAACTTGAGGTGTAAGCGGCTATAAAATAACAGATTTTACCTGGAAAGTGTGTGAGCCGAGAATTTGGGAACAATCGGTGAGAGAAGTATTGCAGTGATTCGAAGTGTTTCATACGAAACAGCAAGCACTGTTAAAATCTAAAGCAAAAATCATAATTGAACTTTGGTTCTAACTATTTCAGCCCACCTCTTCCTGATCACTCAATTTCCACGGTTGAGCCTCTTGAAAGAAAGCGTTCGTCTTGCGGACAATGTTTAGTAAAATCTCGATTCCCCGATAAAAATAAAGCTCATCGTAATGGGTTCGTACACGATCTAAACATAACTTTAAAACATTTTGCGTGTTTTACCAACTAGAAAGTGTGCCCAAATCATTGATAAGCTCTTTCGCCAGTTGTGCACAGTTTGAGGGAACTTTCTTTGCGTCAAAAATCGGATAGACTTGTGCTGGGTTCAATTTTGGTATTGTACCTAAACTTATTCATTTAGCAAAGAAGTTGAAGAAAAAGTTAGCAACTCACTCCGCTGTAACAGATTCCCGATCGTGTTCACCAAATCGCTGTTGATCAACTCGATCGCTTTCAACTTCATGAAATCTATGTTAGATTTTAGTCTATTCGCAATAAGAAAAAAACCTACTGCAATCATCCGTAGGCACGCCTTGTTTCAGCAGAAAATACCGCAGTCCATCATTTGAAAGCAAACCGGCAATTTCCATTGGATCCACCACATTGCCAAGGCTTTTCGACATCTAGGGAACTGTAAAGTATGTTTCCGAAGTGAGACAAACCTTGACATTGTTGACAAGCCAATGTCCATGCACGAATAATCGTTCCGGTAGCGGTAAATTGAGGGCTTGTAGAAAAGCGAACCAATAAGCCGTGTGAAATCTAAAATCATCTGTTTAAGAAAAAGAGTTTTAAATGGCTTCACCGTAAAATATCCTTTCCAATGATCTGACAAGTTGGTGCTGGGAATTGCATTTTGTCTGGAAACCCATTCACCGTCAAATAGTTAATTAGCGCATCAAGCCAAACGTAAACCTAAAAAAAACTAATGAATCATCTAATGAGTTTTTATAGCAAAACTTACTCTTTGTGATGGATCATCAGGCACAGGAATCCCCCATTTCAATCGAGTCGAATCTCTCGAAACGGACAAATCCCCACAAGCGTCCAGTTCACGAATCGCTAGCGGCTTGAAATGGGTCGGCGTAATCACTTCTAAAGTAACAAATTCAATTTAACAATTTCAATCTTTTTACCAGTCGATTCCAAGATTTTCTTTGTCTTCTCCTTGAAATCACTCAATCGAAACATGTAATTCTCCTCATCGACCCATTCCACCGGATTTCGGGTTTCTTTTGCCACCTGAAAATATATTAAAGTAAAAATTGAATCTAAAGCTCACGCTCGACTCTTTTCCATCCAATGATCGAATCTTTTCAACTTCCGAATCCTTGTAGAAACACTCGTCGATCACACTGTACCATCCACTGTACTTTCCCTTGTAGAGGTGACCGGCTTTTGATAAACGAGTCTAAACAATTTCAATTCTATAATTTCACCGTTAAACACGCACCCAAAACTCTCTGACAGCTCTTTTGTGTCGTTCCTCAGTCGTTCTAATATAATCGGTGTAAGAGATGTCGAAAGCTTCAAAAAGTGCCCGAAATTGTGCCGTCACTTTGTCGCAATGCTCAATTGGAGTAAGGGATGCAGAAGTGGCAGCTCGTTCAATCTAAAATAGTAAATCTTAAATTGATTGTGTGATCTAGCTCACATCAAAATTACCTTTGATCCATGTTCATCGGTGCCGGTCGTGAATTGATGCAATTCGTTTGGTGCTTTCAGAATTTCCCATCGATGAGCGGCGTCGGCGATTACCGCACTGTACAAATGACCGATGTGAGGAGCTAAAAACTCAAATAACCTCATGAATAACTTCTAAATGGCTTAATTACCCGAATTCGCATAAAATATTGGTGTCGTGATGAAAGAATGCCGAAATCTTCGTTGCCAAATTATTGAGCGTATGCTCCGACAAATCGTCATCTGCAAATTTGATCACTCAATCCTCATTCTAACAAATTCTTGGGAACTTTCGGGTACTTTGTCGTTTCATAACAATGCATCTTTATCTCAATTACAAAATTGAACCGTTTATTTACAAAAAAGACCTTTTATAGCTTCAAAAATAAAATTACGAAATTCAAAATAGCACAAAAAAAGAGATCAAATAGATGACAAAATTTCAAAAAAGATCTATCACATACGCATCAATAACATATAAACTACACAAATTGCGTTTATTTTTTTAGTCTTCAAAACTTGGCTCGTCATCCTCATCGATAACCATGTCCGCGGTGGAACTAAAAGGAACAAATAAACTTTCTACATAATGATAAATTCTTTTTAGACTTTTGACTTCATTAAACTAAATGTCCTTCTTCACAAAACTCACAGATTATGCTGAACAGCTGGTGTTGACGGTTGTGAGGTGCTAGCTCGGAGTTGCTCGGCTTTCATCTGATTCGCATCGATCATCAGATTACGACCCTCATCTCTTGTCTAAATGGTCAAGGATTGAACGCATCTACTGTTCAAAGCTAGATATTATTTATGAAGCTCACCATTTCATAATCGAGACACTGCATCGCGTAGCCATACGAAAGATCGAACTTCTTCTTCCTCAAAAAGAAACGCGCCAAGTAGATGGCTGCTGTGGCCAGGTTTTGTTCGGGAGCAACCTAATTTGAAAACTGATTAGTTCACGAACTCTTCAAGCCAACCTTTACATACAAGACGAGGTACTTCTGGAATGCTTGCACGGCTCGATTTGAATCCTCCAATTTATCGTAGATTTTCCCTAACGCTAACAGAGCCGTTCCCTCAACATCGCCCACTTGAAAAGCTTTGAGGAAGCATTTCTTCGCATCGTCGATCTAAATTTTAGTTTGTAACCATGAAGCAACGAATTGTTAACCTTGTTCAATTTTAAGTACGACTCCGCCAATCCAATCAACATTCTCGAATCCATAGGTCTAAAAAGGAGTATTGAAATAATGCAAAAGAAAAATTACCGTAGATTGTAAGCCAGTAGATAGTAGCGATGACTGTAGGCGTGCATCTTCAAAATGTCGTACATTGTCGCCAATCCATAATATGGAGCTGGGTCATCTGGTGAAATTGCTAAAAAGCATATCTAACTTGATGGTGTAATGAATATTTTAGTAACTCACTTGAAGCCTTCCGATAAGCGATACACGCAGCCGAGTGATTTTTCATTTCCATGTACTCGTGCCCAATCAGAGTCCAACAACTAAAGGATTTTGTTAGGGTTGTTCACTCACAGGCTACTGTATTGCAGCAATGTATCTACTTTTTGATAAATTTTTCTAAAACTCGCCGTGCATTGTATGGATTCAATCGAAGTGCCCGCTCGAAGAATTTGATTGCCGCTAAGTGCTCGCCTCGAATCGCATAGTAGTTGCCTAAAAAAAATGGCTTCATTCGCTGTCTGTGATCATTATTGCTAGTGATATCACTAACCAGCCACCAAAAGAAGCTTACCCAACATCACACAGGTTTCCCATTTGAAGCGATGCGTCGCCAAAAAACGATAGGCTAACTTGTAGAGATCGGCTTTGTTATTCTAAGATATCGTAAAATTTTCAAAACAATAAGATTCACAAACCATCAGAAAAAGTGTGTTCGAGTATTGTTCCATTCCTTCGATTCGCAGTGGATCAATCTGGGCAATGTTTCGAAATTGTTCACAGGCTTCAGTGTTTTCTAAAAAGACTTTTGAAACGATGCTTTCTTGGCATTGTTAAGTTAAGAATTACCATAAATCTCATGAAATGATATTGCCATTTGAACGAGAAGTGCTGGTTGAGCTTTCAAACCGCCCATTATAAGCCTAAATTTTTGATTTAAAGACCCAAACTTTTTATTCTCTTACCTCCTTGCTGCTTGTATACTTTCAAGGTGTTGATTCAATTTGGCGAGCGCAAAAACTTCATAAACATGCTAAATTAACAAAGATCTTAGTAGTTGAAGTGTTTAACTTTACCTGTAACCAATGTGTGCTGGTTGATTCCAAGAATTGTCCGATCACGTCTCTCAGTTGTTTCTCGTTGCGACTGTGTTGAAGAATCGACTCGTAAGCGGGCCAGAATCTAAAAACATCAATGTCATCATGAATTCTTTACACACCTTGGCTCCTCTTTGATGCACAATAGGAAACGTGTCAGTGCCAGCTCTGGATTTCCCAACGACAACTCGACGCGGCCGGTTCTATAATTTAACTCGCTTTAGCGTTAGACCTTTTAAAAACTTACAAATACTCCATATAGATGTCGACGGGTGGTTTTCCTCCTTTCTTAGCGTACATTTGCAGAATCGACTTCTCTTTGAGCAAAAGGGTGTGCAATTCCGACATCTCCTAAAAAAAGTTTATTTACTATCAAGCTAAAATTATCAAAATCAAAATTTACCGCATACTCAGGCCGTTCCATTGGTGTCAAATCGTTACTTCCTTGTTCGCCGCGTTTCTCGAAAATCTCCGCATCGTTCTCAAGCGCTTTTTGAGTCAATGACTAAAGTAAAGAGTTAAATGGATCAGATGGCACAAAAAATACCAAATATCGACTCCAATAGTACAAAAACTTGTTCAACGGACTCATCTCTTTGCTTTTCTCGAAGAAATACATAGCTCTAATATAATGTACACAAGTCGCTATTAAAAAATTACCGATGAACTTCTTGACAGGCCATCAGCGAGCGTCCAAAGACCACATGTCGATTCTCGTAGGTGATTTCATAGGGATTCTGAATTTGGCTGTACTTCATCGATTTTGATAATTTCACTTGTCACATAATATTTCATAAAATATTTCAAACCGGTGGAATCTCGATTGTTCTTTCCGAGCTCTCGTAGGCCTCGTAAGCTTCATTCGAGCAGTACTCGAGCATTTCGCTGGCCCTGGAAATATAAATTATGCAACTTGTTTATTTACCCAAACAAAACCGACCATTTCACAGTATCCGACATACATCTTTGCGAGCACTCGAGCATCAACCATTGCAAATCGGTGATCACCTGTAAAAATGATTATATGGCGTATTTTCTAACAACTTTACTTCATCCATCGAAATCTGTATGTCGGCAAGATTGTCGACGAAAGATGGGCCGCTGAATGAGTCCATCTAGACAAAAAGATTATGCTAACTGTCCAAATGCCAGACCTCATTTAGTTCGAATTTTTACAACTTTCAGGTCTATTTTAACGGTTTACACTTACCACAAAACATCAAGCTTTGTATTCTTATCCAACAATTTCAAATAAGGTACTTTGGTTGCAATTGACATCTCAATACAGGCAAATCACCAAAATTAAAATTTTTATAGCTTAAATCAATCTGGTCAAGTATAATGAATCTTGAATTAAATAAATGAACATTGCGCACATACGAAAGAAACTACTGTAGATTATCAATTTACCAAAGTTGAGCCACAATATCGACAATATGATTTTCGACCACCTAATAGAAACACACCCGTAAAACTGTAACAAAATAAGTGACGGTGTAAAAAAAAGTGGAGGTATAACCGGGGACAGGGAACAGAAACACGTGATAAAAAGGAGATTTTTCACGGAACAATTCGAAAATATGAGACCAAATTCACTTTACAGAAACGATTCATTATCTTCATCTTCCATATCCTCATCCTCGTCCAAATATGGGTCATTTGTTTTTGCTTGTTGAGAGACTCTAAGAATCGATTCTAAAAATCTTCAAAATCACTTAAAAAGCTAACCTAGACGAATTGAGAAGTTTTTGCCGACGAACAGACTCAAGTTCTCGCAAAAGTGAAATCTCGGCCTCCTTCAACTCTTCATGGCCAAGATGATGAACAGGTAATGAGCTAAATTAGATGCATAAACATTTAAACCGACTTAACTTTACCGTCTCACTGCATTTCGAATTGAATGATCAGCGTCTTTTAGCGGAGCTCGGGAGCTCGTGGTGGCATTTCTTCGAAGTATTCGGTTCCGTAGTGAAATATTTCCTTCTGAGGGTGTATGAATTGAGCGAGAACTCGACGAACTAAAAAGTATTGTGTTCAATGATTAATTCCATGGTCCTCACCGTGCATCTTTTCCCGCAAGCGACCTCGTTTCAGTTGAATCATCGTCGCTGAATAAGACATCATTGTCATCTTCACCTAAATCTTTTGCATTTCATAAAAAAAAATGAATAGCTGACTGTATTCAGGTTCCAGACTGTGTTGACGTCGTTCACTAGAAGTCACATGCTCATCAAGACCGTCGGCGAAACGTGCAAGTCTGAACAAAGGGCTTACTTCAGTATTCTTGAAAAGTCCACTTTTTTGGGTTTGAAACATGTTGACTTATACGTCTCCAATCGGCATTTGGACTCTTGCAATAATCGCGCAACTTACGCAATTCCTTCTCCGTTGTTTCTTTAGTCTAAAAAGAACCTTGATGTGTAACAAAGACAAAAGTAAACAAAACCTGTTGAACGTATTCTTCTTCCGTCAAGAAGTGCCTACGAGGAACACGGTCATAATTTAAACTAAAAAAGAAGTTCAATCTAAAAAAAGAATAAGTAAACCTACCCAATAAAGCCCAAAAACCAGTTGAGTATCGTAAATGGTAGAAAAACAATATTTTTGACTTTCGGGAAAAAACTTCCAAGAATCAACAATGTGATGAGAGCGAATGATACCTCTACCAACTAAAGTTTAGGTTTTACGCTGAATAATTTAATGAAACACACTTGAATAGAAAAATAGATAGCCAGACACGCAGTCGCTTGAAGACCCCATTGAAGCATGTTAAACGAGCGAATATCCGTCGGTGGACCACTTCGATAACAATAGGCTAGAGTACCGATTACCCAGATAGCCTAAAATCGATCAAAAACATTTTCTATTTGTAACTCACAAAATATCCAATCACATACGATCGATATGCGTCCATTAACCAAGTAAAATTCCCATACGCGAACTGCAACATGTAACCGGTGGCCGTCCAACCGCCCAAAATTATCGGAATTCCGATCACTTTCTAAATGGCTTAATTGTTTTAACAGACGATGTTTTAATGTACCTTTGGTGCTAATCGATAAACAATGATAGCTATGATCAAGACGGAAGCAACAAGGCCAGTAGATACACCTCCTAAATTAGATTTTACAACAGAAAAGCTTGGAAAGCAAACCTGCATAGTAAAATCCAGCTTGACGAACAAGAGTTGGGGCAAAGTAGAAGAAGAAAAGCGCCACCACAAAGGGAATCCATCGATAAGAATTGAAAACTAAAAAGATCTCTTAATAACATGCTATTACGTTACCGTTATGTTGGTCTTTAGTATACAAGTGATAATTTAAAAGTAGCAGCTTACGTTCTACATGACGAGAAATTTCGTAGCTATTGTCGGCATCGATTCCAATAAATGTATCGTTGAAAATCGGCAAAAAGCGATTTGAGCGAAACCACTAAAAATCTTCAAATTTAGCTCTTCGGCTCTCCATTGGAAGAGGGAATTTTTCAAAGTTTTTGAGGACCCTTAAGGATAATTTGAAAGTTTGTTTTGTGATGCTCACATTAACAATTTATTGCCTACACTCTCATGTCTGCTTTCTCTCAATGGGTGAAAGCAATGTACGTTTCATTCGGCATATGCTAAAACGGCACCGTCCCGTTGAAGAATCTTCGCCAAAATATGAATTTTTGTGAAAAAAATCTTCGAGTTATCGATTGCTAGAAAATATTTCAATAAAGAAAAAGAATCTTCTCAAAATTCACGAAAATTCCTCGAAACTGTAAAAGCGAAAACGCAAAAAGGCCTAAGAAATCTCGAAACTTCGAAAAATCCTTAAAACTTTGAACACTCTGCAAAATTCCCCGCTTTCAGCGGAGAGCCAAATCTTCCCATTTATTTACCTGTGGAGCAGAAAAATAGCCAAAATACGCGTTATCCTCATTGTAAGCCTTTTGGACGGCTGTGCAGTTTTCACCCTAAAAACGTATTTTGATCTAATCAACAAATTATCACTCACCAAATAAACTTTAAGGCCGGCTAAATTGTCGCTTTTCAAATCAAGCACGATGTCCGTGAAAATGTGTCTTAAACGATAGGGAAGCGCTGATGAATGCCACTGTTTCAGTCCGCCACGAGAAGCCGAGATTTGGCGTTCCTCCGTTAGATCTAAATGAAAGCAATGAAAGCAATTGATTAGGACTGGTTAGTTTTAGAATACCTAAGTAGTTTGCTCCATTTTAAAAGCAACCTACCTTTGTAATCACAATTCGACGAGAAGACGAGGCTAAACAATAAAAATGTTGTTGCCCATTTGAGCAACATCTGAAAGAAAAATGAATTTAGCCGCATCAAAAGTTAAAAAGAATCAGAACTTTGGCAGTTTTCCGGGACCAGTAAACGTAAGCAAAAAAAAGACTGATAACAAAGTAAAATAGAAAACTTTTTTCTTGGGATTATGAAATTGGGGAGCTTCGTTTCACAAAAAGAGTCGATTTGTTTGCGTGGCTTTGTGAATGTTGCATTTGCTTCAATTTTAACCTTTTGGAATTTTAATTTGCGACAGGGTTTCACAAACCAACTAACTTTTTATAAATATAGTAAAAGTCGGTAGTTAGCTGACTTTCATGCCCTGCGAAAAAGATTCATGCTTACAAAAAATCGTTCAAAGTACAAAATAATTAACGAAGACCAATCCGCTCAAAAGATAACCATTACTTCCAAAAATATTTATTCAGCCAAAGTATACAAAGCAAAAGTCTAAGGATAATGTGAACTAGATGGTGACGTTTGGGGGAAGTTCGGAAAAGTTTGACTAGCATTTAACATCGAAAAGGTGATCGAGGGAAATGTGGAGGCACCAAACGGATGAAATGGGGAATGAAGAGTGGAATGAGCAGGAAGGGAGACGGGTGGAAGTGGTTGAAGTGGTTGAAGCGGCTGAAGGGACGCATGTTGTGGAGATGGGTGAGGAAGACGGGGAGAACCTAGTTGGCACAATGTTTGGGCTGCATCCACAACAACTAAAAAAGAAGTATTTAAAAAAAATTAAACATTAACATTACAAGTTATCAGCCCTGCTAACCCGAGTGTACAAAACTAGGGCCCAAAACCAACGACATGTCCTCGAATGTGGGCATTCATCACAACCCTCCCCTTCGACATCGATTTCCTCGTCTTCTTCTTGCAAAACATCACTTTCCTCGTCCTCAATCGGATATCTAAACAGTCAACCATCTTAGCAGCCACTAAATGTCTAACCGTTGTCTCAGAAGTTCGTTGTGCGCTGAAGAAGTGGATGGGAGCTCCTCACAATTTGTCACGCTGATATTGATTTCTTTGGCATCAACCTTTACCGCTTTCTGCTAAAAACGATTTTACTATAGTCTAACTTTTTAAAGCGTACACTCTTTTCTCCAAAATAAAGTCGATACCAAAAGCGACCACGAGCTCGAGCCCATGCCTAAAAGATGGAAAAGTAAATCAATTATCATTAATGCTAATGATTTGTTAGCCAAGTTTACTCATCGCTTACTTTTGGGAAATGCGAATAGCACATCTTTAACCCATACATCCGCTCTTGTTGCAAGTTGAGAATCTCACTTCGACGATCTTCAGAAACTCGATTCAATCTGAACGACTTTTAAGTATTTTAAAAGAAATTATATTACTCGAAGAATTCTTGTTGTGCAGGCGGATAATCGGGAAATTTGCGTAGATCTTTCGGCTTGTGTGACTCATTACACCAGTGACATCGTACAAGGGAACTACTCTAAAAATGTCAGATAATAGAATATTTTGAAGTTAAACCTTAGTTTTCTTTTTATTTTCATTCGCATTTGACGTAGATGCTCCATCTTTTAGTATTCTTCTCAATTGTCTGTTTTCGGTAAAACCGATCGCTGATCGAAGAGTCGCTTTAACCTCCTAAACAAAAGTTTAGAACGTGCTAAAATGAAATCCTATTGGAAAGTTCATTTCGAAATTTCTAAACCAACCCTTTTCGGAAAAGGAAAATGATTGACACAAACAAGTAGATTCACTCGCGGTTTCTCCAGAAAATGCCGATCAAATTCTTCCCGTTTCTTCGGTGGCACTTGGGCGTAATCGTAGAACAGCGACCGCTTTTCGAGACACTAAATTCTTGAGAAATTTTGGTGAGATTAATTGTTTCTTGTTGTCATTAAATGTCTTTAATTGTTTGTTATGATACGTACAGCCGGAACATTTCGCAGCATCATCGGCGGTCTCTTTCTGCCACACAACTTGCACTGTATCGGGTAAATTCGCTCCGCCTTTGGAATGACATTTGCTTCCTAGAATACAAGTTTAAAAGCAGGCATAGAATCCAAACCGCTTCGGTTGGATAGTGCTCTCGACAGATTCGAATTCCTCGACGAAGCTCCAAGCGGCGCATGATATCCATTACAATCTAAAAATTCGGAAAAGTTACGACGACCCTTTTGCATTACAAATGAAAATTTGATCAATAAAGATCCGTCTAATGCAGAAGTATCACTACTTTCACCTCATATGCAGCATTTGCTCCCCAAAGAATCGGCTCATATTTTTCTTTTCTCAATGGTAGACGTCGGAGCCCATCCAATGACCTAAACAAAAAAGTTGATCAATAAACAGAAACGCAAACCTTTGTGCAAAGCATAGTTGACATTTAAATGAAGCGACCGTCTTCTTTCGAGTCTCTGGTTCACCCTCATTCTTTTCCTGTAATGCAAATTGCGTTTACAAACAAAAGATCTAAAAATTTTGACCAGGCTGTACAACTAAATTTGCACTATGACTCTGCACAAACTCAACCTCTGAATCCTCGGCCTCTATGTCGATGTTGTACGTGTGACAACCGGCCTCCATTGCGCATAATTTTCTAGGCCTATAAAGCTGCCTTTATTTGCCAAATATCAAAGCCAACTCACTCATTAGATACATCCAAAGTTATTACTTTTACTGTTTGTTAGTTTTTTCTTTCTTTTTTCTTGTTTGTTTACCGGAATCTTTATTTTTATATTAACCGTATAAAGGAAATCATAAACTGAGATCGCAAAGACAAAAGTGAAAAAATGAGCGATTTATAGAACGAACTTCAATATAACAAAGTAAAATAAGTTGCATTAACGAACACGATACAACATTTTTCGTTGCATTTTTTGTTGCAAGTCCCCGCGTCTGATGAGAGCATTGATAACCTGAAATGAGGACTAAAAGGGGAAAGAAGATGAAACGTTACCTTTTTCACAAGTGATTCCCGATAATGTTGTCTTTGAACGAAGTCTTGAACGATGAGATGTTCACTAACATGGGTGCCAACGGCGAATCGCTTCTTGAGCTGTTTCTCAATGCGTGAGATTGCTTCTTGATCTTCATCGCTTGTGAAACCTTCGATACCTAAAATAACAAGATCGTATTTGAAGTAGGGAACGTTACAGTCACCAAGTCACCTCATCAAAATTAGAAAATTAGCTGCTATCGTACCCGAAAGATTTCCAGTTGCAGCAGCTTCCATAGTCGAGACACGGAAAAGACGCAAAGCCTCATCGATGTGACGCTCCGAGGCAAGTGGTGCCAGTTCCATCTAGAAATTTATTTTTTCAAAAAAAACATTCCCAAACCTTTGCCAATGCCTCACTAATACGGATGATAGCCTCAAGTTGTCGAACAGTAATCGGAATTGCACTTGGTTTATCCTTCATCAACTCTAAAAGTAGGTAAAGCTTTGTTCCAAGTTGCTAAGAAAACTTTGTCCAGTGTTTTCTTCTGGCGTCGGATTCCTCATTCGAATATAATGATTCACAAGTTTGTTGCTGGCCGTGTCCGTAAGACGAGGTCCACAATTTTGGCGAGCAAACGAGACGTATTTCTTCAAAAAGTCAAGCGTCAAGTAGCCATCCCTAATAATATATTGCATGTTGTCTACATATTAGTTCGTGACTTACTTGTCCATGACCTCCATTTTGTCCGAAATGGCAACTCCGTCCAAGTTCAAAGTATCCGTTTGACTGTTTGCCGCATGAACGTGTACTTCTATGACGTGCTTGGCCAAAATCTAAAGCGAAAATCATTACAGCATCACTCAATCACTAGTCACTTATTTATGTGTTGGCATAATTCAGAAGATCAACTCTAGATGTAGAATCAACCTAATCTCATTTGCCTATAATACTTTCCCGCTTATCGCTACCAACTTAAGTGCTATGAGAGCATTAGCTGGTTCAAAAGCGGTTAATTTTACTTTTACAATTCTGCCAAAAAGCTTACCGCGTCTTTACTCATATCATGGGCATCTTTCACAATGTAGATCATGTCGAATCGAGAAAGAATTGTAGGCAAGAAATCTAAAATTTATCTGTTTCTTGATTTCTAATCTAATCTAAAAATGCGTGATAGTTGTGCATGCACAAACCCAAAAAGCCAAAAAGAGGTACCAAAACTAACCAATGTTTTCACTTCCACGAGAATCATCCCAACTAAAAACATTATATAACATCAACAATGCAAATCGTACCGTCCAAAGACACTATTAGCTGCAGCCAGAACCGAGCATCTTGAATTTAGAGTTGTAGTGATTCCAGCCTAAAAGATTTAAACCAATAATTTGAAAATGTTAATACCTACCTTGGCAATTGAGATAGTTTGTTGCTCCATAGCTTCGTGAATGGCAACTCGATCATCTTCTCGCATTTTGTCGAACTAAAGTTTATTTCATACGTAAGGACAACAAATTTACATACAATAACAAATCCCAAGATAATGATACCAA